CATCTTTTTTATAGATAAAATTTTGTTCACATGCCACCACTGGTAGCACCGTTACATATTCGGCTTTTGTCCCGTTTGGTCTATTTTAAACTAATTTCGCTTCGACCACCGGCCCCACTCTTTATCTTTTGAGTTTTCATAGTATTTTATTGTTTTAGTAGTCTGTTTAATTTTTAGCTTAGTATCACATATCAAAATTTAAAAAAACTTCATACTCGCTCCGACCATCGGACCATTATTTAAATTTGCTTTCTTTTAGGTTCCTATAATATCTGACGCTTATCTAACTAATTATGATACCAATCAACCAAATTAACGTTTTTTATACTCGCTCCGACCTCCAGACTCAATTTCTATTTTCTTGTTTTTTACAGTTTCAACAAATATTGGTTGCCTGTACTCAATATATTTTGTTCCTAATCAACATAACCAATATTTTCCCCACTCGCTCGGACCACCGGACCCATTTTCTAACGGTTAGTACTAACTGTTTGAAATTTATTTGAATAAGAACATCATAACAAAAATGATTCTGCAAGTAAAACAGGAGAAGGTTATCAAATAAATTTTAAAAACAGCTTTCTGGATATATATTTATAATACAATTATTAAGTTTTGCATTTTGAATATCCATTGCGAAAGATTCTTGTAAGTAATTATTTTTTGACGTATGGTAAAATATCAACGAGAAATATTGCCATAGCTGTATGGCAAAGGTGTACCTTAACCTATGGAAAAATATTTCTTCATAAACTGTAGCACATCTTAGTTTATGGCAAAAATTTGCCATATAAGAAAATGCCATAGGATATCCCTATGGGGTTTTGCCTATGGCAAAATTTTGCCATATAAAAATATGCCATAGGATACTCCTATGGGGTTTTGCCTATGGCAAAGTTTTTTCATACGTGTATGGCAAAATTTTGCCATACAAATAAATGCCATAGAATATTCTTATGGGGTTTTGCCTATGGCAGAATTTTGCCATATAAAAAAATGCCATAAGATATTCCTATGGGGTTTTGCCTATGGCAAAAATTTGCCATACACTTTTGCCATACATGTTTGGAAAATTTTGCCATACGTATATGGCAAAAGTGTATGGCAAAACTTTTGCCATAGGCAAAACCCCATAGGAATATCCTATGGCATTTTTTTATGGCAAACCTATGGCAAATTTTCCTAAGGGCTTACCCATACAAAATAAGGAGAGTAAGTTTAATTTCTTCCAGCCTTAACACCAGCATTTTAAATATCATTCTATAGGATTGCAATAGTTATGCTAGAATTACTTTTTAAAATAAGTGGTATAGAAAAAGAAAAAAAAAGCTTTTAATTTCTTACCCTTATTTTGGTTGATGCAGCTTTTGCATCGGTAAAAATGCCTTAAATGCTTTTAGCATATTTTTCTAATTGAGCAAATAGTTTTGCCATGTAAAATCTTCTAAAACATTTGCGTGGTAAGATTGTTTACAGATAGTTAGCATAAAAGTGTTTCTTATAATTTTTCGGGTATTGTAAAGTATAAAATTCTTTGTATTATTTTAAAGAATGTAATTTTATATTGAAAAATACAAAATTTGATGAGTTCCTGAAATCGAATAGCTCCTGAGAAATTGAATTTTAAGTATCTGATGTTTTTGAAATTCCTTTTCAAATCTAAATAGGTATGTTTATTCAGAGAAAGTACGTTTGTGTGTCTGATTTGGTAATTTAAATATCGTCTGCACTTATAAATTAACATATTTGAGTCTAACCTCTAATGCCATTACGATTGAGTCCTAGAATACAAAAAAATCCGAACACTAGATGAAAAGTTATTCCGGGCGGTCTGCTTTTTTGCGCATTGTTCTTTTTAAAATGAAACTATTCTTTCAATTTTTAATAAAAAAATATTAGCTTTGTTAAAATTGACATAACATATCCCATTAGACAATACCTCCTCCACTCACCTCTTGATTTATGTTTTCGAATTTATTTTAACAAACTTGTTATTCATATTTCTTTTTCAGGAGTGCGAAGACAAACTTGAAATCATCATCAAGCAATCAGCGGATACTTATTCGTTCTGTCAGAATGATAAAATCAACAATTCTATAACTGCTGTAACTGACGTCCAGATTAATTTTATTGCTCATTACCTTTTGGAATATAGTGTGTACGATGATGAAGTATATTATTTCAGACCAAACTTCAAGCTGAATTTTGAAATTAGTAAGTTGTACTTTCTAATCGAATATTAAAATATAAACTTCAAAAATTAGTTTAAATTACACAATTGTGTTGATACTGCTTAAATATGAAAAATTCTTTACATTAAAAATATTTCTTTTAGTTCCTTTTAAGCTGTCGTTTCATCCCTTGGGTACGGTTTTCATCTCCCCCCCCCCTCAACTCAAAGCCCCTTATGATTCCTAAGTGCTTTCCCGGTAAACTAGCTTCGCGCGATTTATCACCAATGGTTTATTGCCAATGAAATATATATCGATAGAGGATGATCATCCTCATATTTGAGAGGTTCGCTAGCAATCTTTTCTACAATTTTTAGCAGAGTTGGCCAAAAATGTAATCGATTACATTTTTCGATTATAGTAATCAATTACTTGTAATCATGATTACAATTTAACATAATTTTGATTACAGCTGTAATCGTGATTACAACAAACAATTACAGTAATCAATTACTTGTAATCGTGATTGCAATTTTGATTACAGCTGCAATCATGAATACAGTAATCAATTACTTGTAATCGTGATTACAACTTTCAAAAATGTTGATTACAGATGTAATCATGATTACAATATTGGTTTCAGTAATCAATTACTTGTAATTTTGATTACAGCCGTAATCAAAATTTTGATTATTTGCAAGTAATCACAATAAAAACGATTACGAGTTATTATGATTACAAGTAATCAAAATATATGATTACATGTAATCATGATTACATGTACTCGTGATTACAAGTAATTGTGATTACTTACAATCAAACTATACGATTACAAGTTATTACGATTGTATACTATATGCAAATTCATTATGTACGTATGTATGGGTTTACATATTTTTATGTACATACAATGTACGCACGCATGAAACTACAATTTGAGATTCCTATATATATATATATATATGCAATGTATGCACAAATGTTGCTTGTACGTACAATATACATAGTTATATTGTAATATACTTATACAATAAGTATATGCTTAGTACATATAGTTATGCATTTATGATACATGTACGCATGTATGTTAGTTTGTACGAAAATGTAATGTTCTGTATACATAGACAATATATGTATGAACGTATGTGAAAATAATGTTTATACGTTTGCATGATTTTATGTACTTAAGTACATATATTGTATAATTTTACGATAATAGCACGTATATACAATGCACGTATGTATATAAATTGTACGTATTTACGTACAATATGTAAGAATGTTGTTTAAAGGTTCAATATATGCACATTGTTACGCAAATAAAATGCATACATGTATGCACGTACATTTATATGTACATAGATATATGGTATATATACGCAGCGTATGTACTTATGTGCAACGTACGTATCTACTTGTATAACTACTTTGTTAGCACTTATGCGCATGTAATGTATGTATGTACAAAAAATATAGTTATATGCACAATGTACGTATGTACATACAACGTATACATATACATAATTACAAGTAATGTATAAATACATGCGTGCATTTAAATATATGTAATTACATTATACGCATACTTTGTACATACATTAAAAAAAATTTTATAAGTAAAGTTAATAAAGTTTGTTTTAAAATTTATTCTAAGGCATATAAAACTCGTCCCCATATTTTTTAGAAAACAAACAATAATCTTATTTTAAATTTCTAAATATTATATCCACACATAAAATTTACCGTTTCTTTTGCTATGATGACCATGTATTATGGTATAAAAAAAATCTGTATTGTTAAAGGTTTCATGAAAATATCTGAAATAATTTTTTATTCTAAGAATTTTAAAATGATATAGAACAATTAAACCTTAAAACGAAATTTAAATATCGTTTGATCTTGTCATTTAACTTGCTTGAGTCATTATATATACAGTACACATGGATATGCATGCATGGATCATACGTGCATTGTACAAGTGTGGATACATTTATTGGACATAAATACATAGCACATATGCATAGATTGGGATAGCATGCATGTACACATGTAAAACTTGCACGAAAGAATTATGTCCAATATATTTATGCACATATGTACAGTATATGTAAACACATATGAACATTATACATTCCATGCATCATATGTACATTATATGAATGTACATCTGTACACTATATGTATGTACATCTGTACAATACATGCATCTCAAATGTGTGTATGTACATACGTTATGCTTGTCGAATGTATGTAAGTACATCTGCACAATATATGCATGTCGAATGTATGTATGAATATATGCAAAATATAAATACGCCCAATGTACGTACAATCGTACACAAATGTATTCTGCATATTTGGATACATACATTAAAAATGAACATATTGTGTATATGTACATCAATACATTGGACATGCATATCATGTACATGTATACATACATATATTGTATATACTACATATATACCTATATCGTACATGTATACATACATATATTGTATATACTACATATATACCTATATCATATTTGTATCCATATATTATACTGTTCATAAATAAATTGTACATTCATGCATGGGACATACATTGTACAGACAATGTATGTATGTTTGTACAAACAACAAGTACTTGCATATACATGCGTGCATGAACATGGATATGCATTTTACATGCACAAATATTTGCATAAAATGCATGTGTGTAACTAAAATATCTGTACATATGCACTAGATAAAACCATTACATTTTAGTTACATTCATTTGTACGTATACAAATACGTACAAAATGTAATACATGTAAATACATACAAAATGTATCATTACAAGATACATTCTACTGTGAAATATAATCATTTATAAAAATACAATAGTCTTGTAATCGAGTATTTAAATTATATGTAATCATAATTACATGTAATCATATATTACGATTACTTTTAATCACGATTACAAGTGACCGTGATTCTAAGTAATTGATTACAATAATTGGTTATGTAATCACGATTATAGCTGTAATCAAAATTATGAATGTTTGTAATCATGATTACAAGTAATTGATTACTGTAATTAATATTGTAATCACGATTACAAGTAATTGATTACTGTAATTAGTATTGTAATCACGATTACAAGCAATTGATTACTGTAATTAGTATTCTAATCATGATTACAGTTGTAATCAAAATTTTTAATCATGATTACAAGTAGTAATCGATTACATTTTCGCTCTTCTCTGATGTAATCAAAAATTTGATTACTTGTAATCGCGATTACTTGTAATAGTGATTACAAGTAATTCATTACATAGTTGTAATTATCTGTAATCAGTTACAGTTGTAATCAATTACTGTAATCGACGGCCAACTCTGTTTTTTAGTCATGAACCATTTAACTTAGAACTGTGGAAGGTTTTTGGAAAAATGAGAGTACAAGAACTAGCAGAATTATCTTTTTAACAATCAAAAATTTATGCACATTTTTCTATAAATTTTATTTTAGAAGCAATATTGAACTTTTTAAAAATAAATGTTAGTTTCTGTAAAAAAAAGTATTTTTAAAGGAATTTCTTGTTTTCATAAACATACGTATTCTTTTTAAAGGGAAATCTTATTTTAAATAACATTATTTATTTTTTAAAAATGACTTCTCTTAATAGAAAATCTTTGTATTAAAAATATAATTTGCTTTCTAGAGTGAATTTGTATCCCAATATATATATATATATATATATATATATATATATNTCCTTTAGATGATTTAAATGTTCTTCAAAACTATTAGAATAAATTATGATATCATCAAAATAATTAGCTGCAAATGAAACTTTATGTTTAGTGAGTATTCTACGTATTGTTCTTTGAAAAATACTAGGGGCGTTCTTCCACCCAAATGGCAATCTTAACCATTCGTATAACCCACTATTGGTGACAAAAGCAAGTTTTTCAGTGTCCTCAGGGTTGATTGGAATTTGCCAATAACCACTTACCATATCTAGCCTACTAAAATAAACACTGTTCCCTAATTTATCTATAAGAGTTTCTATAAGAGGTAATGGTTCTGCATCCGATTTAGTAATTTGATTTAATTTTCTGAAGTCTATACACAATCTACTTTTTTTATTTTCATCTTTTTTATAAGCTAGAGTTACTGGAGCAGAATAGGGAGAAGAGCTTTCTTTAATTATATTATGCTTTAACAATTCTTCAATTTGTTTATCTATTTCCTCTTGTTGTTTTGGGGAAGTTTTGTATGCTCGTAAGGATACTGGTAAGTCTGATGTTAATCTTACCCTTTGAGGTTCAATTCTTATTGTCCCTACATCATATTTATCTTTAGCAAAAATATCTGAAAAATCTTCTAAAATTTCCTGAAGTTGGAAATTTTTTTCATCATCTTGAATTTGCATAATTCCGTCAACATGATTTTGACAATGTTGGCCACCATTATCATATTTAGTCTGAAGAATATTTGAAAATTCAAAATTATTTTCAGTTTTGCCATTTAAATCTTTACTTTTAAGTCTATTTTTTGCTTCATTTTTCTTTAACTTCACTTTGTTAACATTTTTATTTTTGTTTATTCTCATGTCCAAAATTTTCTTTTCTTTTGCAATTTCTACATTTGGTTTATTATTATTTGATTTAACATTTTTTTTTATTTATTTCTACTTTCCTTATTTTTATTCTTAGCTTTATTTTCTCTATTTGTATTTTTATTGCAATCATTAACCTGGATTTCAGGAGAAATGTGCTAAGACAAATTGCTTTTATAATCCGAAAAAGTGATCAGTTTTCTCCGATTTTGCATTACAACTCGTTTAACACAATCGATCACAAATTTAAACCCATTACATTCCTTTAAACCCAATATGGCATAAGGTGGATCAGTATTTAAAACATAAAATTCCACTGACCTAGCTATATTTCCAATTTTTAAAGTTTAATTCCAATTTCCAATTTTTGAAGTTGCAGAATACCTTTTGTTTGTTTTACATTAACAAAGTTTTTTCTTTCTTTTTGGACATTAAGTTTTTCAAAAAGCTTAGCCGGGATGATGTTTAACAGGATAGTTTTATTAGTCATAATCGGGTATTTGTCACTTTTATTGTTTTCATTTTTATTTTGTGTGTATCCGGATACTATTAATTGACAATTTTGTTGTTGGTCACTTTCTTGTTTAGACTGAGTTAGATTCTCAGCCGTAAAATATTATGTTTGTTTATACAATTTTGGCTCGAATTATAAGTATTAGTTATTCCAACTTTATCACAGTATTTATATGGCTTAGGAGGCAACTCCGGGAAAGCCTGACGAAATGACTTCTTTGTTGTTTATTTGTAAGAAATTTTTCACTTTCTTTCTGAACTCTGTGTCTAAATTGGGATTGTTGGTTAAAATTTTGCCTTGGTTGGGAAAATTTTTGTCTAGGATTATTAGGACTAACTGGTTTATTAATGAATGGCCGCCTTTGTGTCCAGCCTAGTTGTCTATACCCATTAAATTTGAATTTCGGCAGTTTTTGTTTAGTTTCAGTTTGGGGTAAAACAATAAAGGCATTATGAATTATCTTAGAAACAGTGATCTATTCAATTGGGGTTTTGGGTTCTGCTGAAACCAAAAGTGTTTTAATTTGTCGGAGCAAACCTATAGAAAAACCCTCAATTATATGGTCATTTCGACCCAACGCTACCTGTTCAGTAAAATATGAATTTAGGTCTTCAGCATGGCCAGAAAATTTTAAATTTGGAAAATCATTAAAGCCAAAAGGAGCCAATTTTGGGTTTACATCTACTAATAGTTAACTTCGTAGCCTAGCAATTTTGTGCCCAACACAAAACAAGGGAGTTCCTGGATCAAACTAGCTTTCATGAAAAACTTTTTGATGAAACTAACCCCCATTTGCGTTATATGGAGTAGAAAATCACGAAAACCTCCCACAGTAAGTCTGACGGCAAGAGAATTCTAAACCATGATCCTCTACCACTGAGAATATTTTACATTAGCACTGTGGGCAGTGCGAGCCTGGTGCGGAATTGGAATAGATTAACTACATTTAACATCACTTGCCGTGATGCTAGTTNAAATAAACCCCATTTGCGTTATATGGAGTAGAAAATCACGAAAATCTCCCACAGTAAGTCTGACGGCAAGAGAATTCTAAACCATGATCCTCTACCACTGAGAATATTTTACATTAGCACTGTGGGCAGTGCGAGCCTAGTGCGGAATTCGAATAGATTAACTACATTTAACATCACTTTACGTGATGCTAATTCTCGCGGCTAACTCATAGTCAATATTTACTATCATCAAGAAAATTTCTTCGGTACATATATATATATATTCCTTTCAATAGTCAGTAAGGCCCATATTTCCACAACATCGATATTAAAACTACAAATAGTTTTAATACTATCAATTAATTTTGGTGATTATTTAAATTGCTCTGACATAGCGATTAAAAACTTAAATATTAGAGTACGTGCAATAAACTCTTTTCTTGATCAAATAGAACTGTGAACAAGCAAATATCACACTCATATCGGATACAAACTTCAAATATCGATATCTCGGATACTTTTTAAATTAGAATGAAGTGTTTTTTAAAATTTTTTTCATTTTTTTACAAGGAACTATTGTATTATATTATTGCATTAACATTTTTTGTCTTCGGGGGCCGTATGAAAATTTAAAATTTAAATTTATGCTATTAAAATTATTTTTTATCGTAACGGATCTGTTAAGAACATAATTTCTTTTAATCTTGTAGAAATATAACGAAATTACGAAAAATAAACTAATTTTATATACAATTTTTTTGCGATAAATATGCTGACAAAAAAAAATTAGCAAATGTACGATTTTAAAGCGCATTAGATTTTATTCGGATGCTAAACAAGCAAAGAATATATTCCAAAACGATGCTTTTAATAAATATCTAGCATATTTGTTACACATAATCGGGATAAAATTGGGGGGGGGATGCATTCCACTCATCTCCACTGAATAAAGTTGGACAAAATGAAAAAGGAAAAAATAATTCCATGTAAATAAACGTGTTTTCGTTTTGGTTCTACAATAAAGAAGAGCTCATAGTGAAATACTGAGAAACCGAAGAAATGTTGTGATACAGATATGGGGAGAGCCCCTAGTCCGTACCTGTGTTGGATGAAGTAAAAGTAAATAGAAAATTGAGTTATAAAACATTTGGAAATTGATTTTAATCTGGAAATCAAGGAAGGCTTCTTGTCCGCACACCCTTCCACGCACTGTTAAAATTTTCCTTCTAAAATTACGGTAATATAATAAAAGAAATTTTTTTTCCTTTATGGTATTATATCTATTTACAAAAATATCGTTATAAAACCATGTATACAAAACTATACAGTTTTTAACCATTTACAACTAGCATTTTTTAAAAACGTAATAATTTTTTAACTAGACATAGAAGCTCGGCTTTTCTTAAGTTAATGGTCATTGGAGAGTGCCGGACACTGGGAATTCTTCACGTGTTGAACGGAATGGAGAAAATATTCTGTAGTGNATAAACTAATTTTATATACAATTTTTTTGCGATAAATATGCTGACAAAAAAAAATTAGCAAATGTACGATTTTAAAGCGCATTAGATTTTATTCGGATGCTAAACAAGTAAAGAATATATTCCAAAACGATGCTTTTAATAAATATTTAGCATATTTGTTGCACATAATCGGGATCTAATTGGGGGGGGGATGCATTCTACTCATCTCCACTGAATAAAGTTGGACAAAATGAAAAAGGCAAAAAAAATTCCATGTAAATAAACGTGTTTTCGTTTTGGTTCTACAATAAAGAAGAGCTCATAGTGAAATACTGAGAAACCGAAGAAATGTTGTGATACAGATATGGGGAGAGCCCCTAGGCCGTACCTGTGTTGGATGAAGCAAAAGTAAATAGAAAATTGAGTTATAAAACACTTGGAAATTGATTTTAATCTGGAAAATCAAGGTAGGTTTCTTGTCCGCACACCCTTCCATGCACTGTTAAAATTTTCCTTCTAAAATTACGGTAATATAACTGGCAGCTGCCTGCCCATCCGATTAACCATAAAGTTTACGGAAAAGAAAATTTTTTTTCCTTTATGGTATTACATCCATTTACAAAAATATCGTTATAAAACCATGAATACAAAACTATACAGTTTTTTAACCATTTACAACTAGCATTTTTTAAAAACGTAATAATTTTTTAACTAGACATAGAAGCTCGGCTTTTCTTAAGTTAATGGTCATTGGAGAGTGCCGGACACTGGGAATTCTTCACGTGTTGAACGGAATGGAGAAAATATTGTGTAGTGTCAACACTAGGACTCGAACTCCAGTTCTGATGGTCATGAGATTGACAGATGAGTCCGCTCGGCTATGATATGTACGCAGTAGCGAAGAGCTAAGTAGCTTCCTTATGTGGTTCGAGTTGGTGCTATAAAATTCTGGTTGTTTAACCGTATTAGGTGAAAGCAGTTAATAAACAGTTTTTCTCAAACTTAACAGTTTGATTACCATTTCATTTATGGTTATTTGGCTGTGTTGATTAAATATGGTAAAATAGCCATGCAATCAATTGTTATTTAACCATTTCTTCCGAGAAATTTCTAACAGTGTGTCTTAGGGCCTTGATATTTGCCTTTATAGTTAGTTCAGTTTTTATTTCACAAGTGCAAACACTTTTCCACCTAGTGCTCAGTAGATCGAAGACTCTATAGAAAGCCAAGATATTGACTGGATTTTTGAGACAGTCATATCGCGATATCTCAATCCTAACATAGTTGTTCTGGGGAGCGCAAATAACAACGCCTCTTAACACTAGGTTTACGGGACACGTCATTTTGAGTCATTTCGAGTTTTGTAAGGAAAATTATAAAACCCGTTTGAATTTTTATTTTATCTCTTGTAATGACTTTTAACCATTGATCGAAGTAAATATATATTGAAGATTATTTCCTTCAATAGCGTTTAAATATTGAAATTCTCTATGTGGTATACCTATCTCTACGGATATGCGTCAATTTGACGCGATCATAATTTAGACAAAATTTTGAGTAAACAAGCAATTATCACATCAATAATAAATAGGAATGTACCGACAATACTTCGATTCGTTATTCGATATCGTTATCTCAAATAAAACAAGCGATAAACAACTGTAATAGAAAGAACAAACGCAGAACGCCCTAGGGAAATCACATTATGATTTTTCTAAATTAAGGATGATTTTAGGGAATCACACACCCTTTTAATCGATTTTGTTGTTCCCTTCTGAAACAACTGTTTCACACCTTCCATCTCCTAAAATTGTTACACAAAACCAAGTTTGTGAATAATTACTTAGTTACTATTTTTGTGTCAAATATCACTTAAATCAATAGAGTAATTCTGGAGAGAATCGGCGAAATCCAAAAATTTCCTTTTGACTAACATTGTATCTGCTTTTATAGTCTTTGGAAATAAAATATGCGTCTCTAGGTTACTCGATTTTCTCTCTTCGTTACCATGGTTTCCGTAAATTTTCCTCTTGCCAGTACGTTTCTTGACATGTTGAAACCATGGTAACGGTGCCAAAACCATGGCAACGGTGATGGGAAGTGTGTGGTGAGTGGGGAAGCTGAGTAATTTTGAGACACTGGTTATATTCGCAAAGAGTAAAATATATGTCTCTAGATCAAAGCCAATGTGAAAACTTTAAAATTGAGGATTTCACTTTGATATTCGGTAGAGATGGTCAAAAATGTTTTTAAAAATTATAATTGAATTGATTTGCAACAAAAGAAGAGTTAAGATATCAGATTCAAGTGGGAGTAAAAACTGTTGGATTTAACAATTTTTCTGCGTGCATATATTTTAGTAAAATAATATTTTATTCTTTTTTTTACAGGAGATATTGAATGCTTACAAAACAACAGTTTTCACTGTTCTAATCATTCTTGCATTCCTAAGAATGAAATATGCGACGGAGTTAAAGACTGCGAAAATGGGGCAGACGAAGTTGGATGCGGTAAGTATTTCTGAACACTTTGTGTACCATGTGGACTTAAAAAGAATAGACTATGCATATACTGTACACATGCATACACTTTTATAGAATTTCCAAAGTTTCAATAAATATTTTCCTCTGTGCTCCAAGCAATGATAGCGTACTGATATTTTAAAAAAATAGTATTTAAAGAATTATTATCACCAGTATAAAAAAATAGAAGCATATGGTATATTAGTTGTCAATTAAATTATTAGTTCGTTGCATCAGTTCTTCTAAGAGTTTAAAAAATCTGTTTTTAAATCAGCTACTTTCAATAAAATTTTTTAAAAAATTCGTTGTAAAAGATTGAAGAAACAACGTATTATAACTGATTATGTGGCTGGGATAGCCTGATCGGTTGGGCGCTGGCCCATGTCAGAGAGTTCGTGGGTTCGAACCCCGCCGGCCGAAGACTCCCCGTGTAGTTGGTGACTGATGCACATAAAAAATTCTGTCAAGTCGCAAAGTCCTCCATGTTCCCATAACAAATCAACATCTCTGGGGGTAATGGATTGGAGATTGTTTGTTCTCTTTTTCAGGTCAAAATTACGATCTGTGGATGAATGGATGGATGTATGAATGGGTCTGTCTTATAAACAGGTGTGACGTATGGTGTGGCAGAAGTCGGATTCTTGACCACAGATGGCGCCACTGCAAAACGAGAAACGCACACTCTGTCTTAAATTTTCTCGGTTTCTCCAAGCAGGCTTGCCCGTGTGGCAAGTGGCAATAGAAACAACAACAACATAACCGATTATTATCAATCAAAAATATTGAAAATTAAATATTTGTAGTACAACTGAATTCCTAGAATTCACGAGAAATTAGAGTCTCTAAAACCTAGTAAAACAGTTGTCATCACTTTAAAAAATTTTCTCCAGACTATGGCCACCGTTTTACAATTTTAACTTCGATTACCTACCACTGGAAACAATATTCCGCAGAAAGCTTAGATTTTTGAGGGTCTTCATTTTCAAGAACGCAAACTTGCTCTTCTATATATTAAAATTTTGTTTCTCAAATGGTGGCAAAATTTATGTTTTTAAATGTTACTTTTACTTTCGCAAATTTGATTTAAAGCTCTTTTGCCCAACTTTGCAAATAAATAATTCAAAAGGTGTTCAATATCATCTGTTTTTCGATAGACCTTGTAAACTATTGGAGATGATTAACTACAATTTTACAACTGGGTACTTGCAACTCGAGAAGAAGACGATCACTGATAGACAGATACTCGACTTATGACTTAAGAGTCAGCTGATTGTTTATAATTAAGATGGCGTGTTAAATGCGTGCAAAATTTCTCCACATAACTTAGAATGTTGATTAACGGGAAATTAATTAAATACAGTGCCGTATCGCGTCTAAAAATTGTTGAACATTCTTTTTTCTCTGCTACGTTCTTAGCTTGATGTATATTATTGTAACCGTGGTATAATTTTGTTTTGTGTACCTGACTACTTAGTGTACTTAGTTTATGTTCTACGTGGCTTCGTGCCACATAATATATATGTGTTAAATAAGAAATATATGGTGAAAAAATTGAAATCTTTGTGAAAGAACATAAAATATATGACTTGAGAGATTTGATCCTTGTCGGGCTTGGCTTACTCGAAATAAAATGGAGAGAACAGATTAAAATTGTAGCAGTTTATACCTATTTTCTCTAGTAATGCATATGAATGCTTCAGAAATAGTTCAACATGTTCCGCCCGTGCATTACTGTAGCCTTGACAATATTTTTATGGATTTTTTTAACCTACCAACATGCCAAATCTTCGTAAGGATTGGAAGCTAAATCTTCTTTGAGGGGAACTATCTCGTGAGTTTTATACTTTTAGACATTCTTTTGTCTCCATTTTAAAATACAATGCTAAAATTAATGTTCTTACGCTATTTGTGAGATGCAAAATGGTATTTCTGTGTATTTCTAAAAACTAAACTTAGCATTATCGGCATTAACGCGATGTAAACCATATGCAAATGGTTTACCTAGACGGTAATGGTCTATAATTGCAATTGCTTTACATACATTACAATAATATATTATAAACATTTTTATTACAATTTTTATTTTATTTTGATTATCTTAATTACTTATAACATTTCTATATCTATGTATATTAATCCATTTATTTTTACTTACAGAAACAGGCATATTAAGCATTAAAGGTGTTACGGAGACGCGTTCAAAAGAAATAGAGTGGATGAAAAGCAAGCGTTCTTCTTCCTGGGGATGGCATGAGAATACTCCACGAGTTCTATCTTCTCTATTTTTATCAGGAGGAGTCAAATTCGACGGCACAATCTATGAAGAAGAACTAATGGCGAAACAAACAGAGCTTAAAACTTCGATTGCTCTACTGAAGTAATAGTTAAAATCAATTTTTTAAACCTTTCCCTCAAAATCAAAAATAACGAAGCCATTCCAAATTGATAACAATGTATTTTTTATTTTCAAATTTCATCTTGTTGAGCTGAAGTTTTAGATTTCTTGTCCAAACATTTAAAAGTAAAGCATTCCTGAAACAAACCGTTATGAGCCAAGGAGTAATATGACGTAAATATAACCATGGCTGATAGTTTTTGTCAGATATATTCTACTACTATTGAATGATACATCTGTGGCTTAAAACCTATATATACCAAGACGAAAATAGAGCTAAAACTGGTACGAAAGACTTTTCATTCTAGAATTTTTTTTCTTCTAGAAACATTAAATTTCTGTTACTACCGAGATTTTTTTTACAATTAAAGCATATATTTCAAACTGCTATTTTCCTTAGAAGGAGTAGATATTGATAAAATAGTTTGAAGAAGAGAATAGATTTAGCGAAAACAAGTTAAAACTGAAATGATTTTACTACGAGCTTTTCCTCTTTTCGGTCCAGTTTTCACCCACAGATGTATCATGATTTATTTCTCCATGACAAACAGTTGCAAACACTTTTTCAAACTAAATGCTTTCAGGAAGGCGAGGCGAAATCCCCCACAAGATTCTTATTGTATTTTACTAAATTTTGAGTTTCGATAATTAAAGATAAGTTTTAATTTCACACGCCGAGTATCCATCTCATACGCACTGCAATAAAGATTTTGGTCCGACGTGTATATTGAAATTTCATTGGTATACACCTCATACGCACTTAACTGGTTGACATGGGATGCCCACTAAAAACGTATGAGTTTTCTAAAATTTTATGTTTTTAAAATACGTAGCAGTTCCATTAAAGAAACGTACCACCAAATAATATTCTTATTGTATTGTATTGAAATTTTGAGTTTAGATAATCAAAATTAAGAACTTTTTAATTTACACGCTCTTCAGTATACAGCTCTTACACACTGCAATAAAGATTTTGGTTTGAAGTGTAAAACACGCTTAACTGGTTGATAAAGGCTGCCTACTACAAAAAATGTAAAAGTTTTCTAAAATTTTATATTTCTAAAATACTTAGCAGTTCCATTGGTAACATTAAAGAAACGTATCACCAAATAATATTCTTATTGTTTTCTATTAAAACTTTGAGTTTTGATAATGAATGACATCTTTTTAATCTTACACGACGAATATTCACGTCATATGCACTTTAATAAAAATTTTGGTCCGACGTGTATACACGTCAAAAGGGGTTGAACTGAGTTGCCTTTTAAAAATGTATACGTTTTCTAAAATTTTTATATTTCTTAAATACTTAACAGATCCATTAGTAATGTAAAGGAAACATACCACCAAATTATTTTTCATGTGGAGTGTTTTGCGATTTTAATTCAACTAACAGTTAAATTTCCTATTTTTTTTAAATTAACCTTTTTTAAATCATTGAAATTGAACATATGTTTTTAAGTAATTATGTTTTAGTAATTTAAACCAAAATTATTTAGTTATATATGCATGATTTAATGTGGTATGAATTCCAAGGAATTGTACGTGTTTCTTTTAAATTAAACTTAAAAGTCTTGGAAGTACGATAACTTATTAATAAATCATTATTTGAATAAAATAAATATTAGTAAACACCACAAAATACTACTTATAACCTTCTAAGTTTCAAATCATACAGATGTCATATTTCAGAATAAAATTTAAAGTTTGCATACTATTTATTTTTACGTGTAATAAATTTGCTGTGCCGCTTTAAAATATTCAATACATTTACACATTCAACATTTTTGTATCTAACAAGATTTATATAACTTCTTGCATTAATTGCAAAGCTGTCTCACTGCTTTTTCGTGTTCACTTATTTACAAACAATGCTCATTTGACACTAAATCAATAATAATTCAATTTTTCAGGAATCCTCTTTCAGCAGAACAACTAAGCATGTTTATAAACAGCTTATTGGTGACGTGTCACAATCCTCGTCAGTTCTATGGACAGAACCTGATAAAGCGTTTAAAAGAGCAAGTGCAGTCTACAACTAACTTCACGCATCCAATAGCATATTTAACTCTCTGCAATGCTAAAGAACCCTGGCCGCTTAAAGCAATTGCAGATCTCAACAAAATTTTAAGCACCGATGCTGACAATACTTTTGTTAGAGGTAACTAAATGTTTTCCAATTATAAGTTTGCATTATAAAATAGCATACAAATTTTTTTGTTACATTTATAGAAGTACTTTATTTTACCTAAGTCGGATGCGGGAATTTGAAATCTGTATCTAGTTTAGTTCCTAAAGGTACAATATATTTTCAAAAAGATATTTTTAGTTTAGTTAATTTTTCGTCTGAATTTGCAAGTTTATATAGAATGTATGGGTTTATATAAATTTATCTGCTCCACTGAAAATAACACTTTAGTCAAAATGAGACAATATGTCCAAAATATATTTCAACATAAATTGAAATGCATTATCGCATTCTTCCTACCACGCCTTACGTAGCAAACAAGTGGGAACACTAAGTATTCATTTGACTGAATTTAAAAATGATCGTGGCTAGGAATATAATGTTAAACTGCATAAAAACTATAGCTTATTAATAGAAACCGAATTCAGATTTGAAATCAGCAGCACAAAAAAAAAATCTGAGATTCGTTCAAAAATCTCACACAACAGGAAAAAAAGAATCCCTATTGTAATTTATACCAAAATTTAGTTTTATAATGTATCATTGTTTGAAAAAATCCTTTATTTGTTATAATAAATAAATAATAGTAAAAAAAATCAGTAGTTTTAAATATTTTACAAAGTATTGAGTTGTTTGACTTTTTTGCTGAAAATTGCCTATTTGTGCCACTTCCTTGGTACAAATTATAATTTTATCTTAAAAGAAGAAAAAGAGTCAGAGTGTGGACATATGGTTGGAATAGACATATAGAACAGTTCTGTTATTTAACACTCAAAAATTGTCTGAAAATTTTGTTAGATTGACTGTGTCACACTTTCATAAGAAGTTACAAGGCTAAAACGCGTCACAGCTAAGTAGAAAAAAAAGGTTTTTATGATGGAAAAGTAACAACATAATTTTTTTTAATAGAACTTATAAACTATTTCTATTCATCACTTTATCAATAAGAGATATTATGCTATTAATAATTAAGTGTATATACGTATTTTAACAGTCCTTTTTTATTTATCTTTTTTTAATTAACTGTTAATTAGATTAAAACAACAAATAACTATACAGGCGGCTAATGTGGATGAACACACACCGTGGCAAGACTAGTAATGGATATATCAATATATTTTATTTTACAAAATAGTACATTGTGGTAGACACAAATGCATAAAATGATCCAGGTATAGAAAGGTAACAGCCTAAGTTTTATTTTAATAGCAACTTGTACACTATTTGCTTTCATCGTTTTTAACAGTAGGAAATATTATGTTGTGAAAGAATAAGTGCATTACATTTATTTTAACACGTTCACGCCGGGGTGACCCACCGGTGGGTCACGCTAGATTGTCTCATCTTGGCAGCGCACCGGAGTAAAAACTGGTAACAAATAAATTTCATTTTTCAGTTTTTTTCCGGGAATAATAAAAATCCATAGCTACCAATTGTTTTTAACGGAGGCAATTTTTATATTGAATTGCTTTTTCGCCGTGATGAATTTCCTTTCAGTGAATTGTTATTGTTGAGAATAGATTAACTCCTCCCGAATATTATCTAATATTGAAATAGTCCTTCTACCAGTATTTTCACTTTTCCCGGCGTGAACGTGTTAATAGATATTTTTGATATGCTCTTATTAACACTAAACATACCATAACCGGTCAAAAAATTGTTTATTGTATGTCGTATTGTATTTTAAAATGTTGGTTATAGGTTAGAGCAAATGAGCTTGAGTCAACAAATAACAATATGGCTAGTGTGGGTGGTCACAAACTGTGGCGAGACTACTATGGGCATGCCAATGTCATTAGTATTCCCACGACTCTTAGGAGAAAATTCCTGATAATGTTAGAAAAAAAGTTAATTTTGTTTCTTCTAAGATAACACTTTAATGTTCTGGTATAATAAAATTGGCATATATACAAACAGGGGTGAAAGCGAGACGGAAAAGGGGAAAGGCTGGTAGTAAAAGCATTTCAGTTATAGCTAGTTTTGGGGAGGAGTTTACTTATTCTTTTTTTAAATTTTTCAACAATATCTACTTTATCTTGGATGCTGGATATTGGGGTTATCTCGGCGTTTGGCGCGAAGCGCCACTAACCGATTCATCGATTCTGTTTTGTTGTATTCTGGGAGGTCCTATATATCTTTGAAGTTGTAGTATGTTGTAACAACAAGTCAAGTCCTTAAGGAGTAAATCTTTAGTTTTGAGGGGAAAATCATCTTTGGATTGGGGAGATCCCCTTGGGTAGAGTTGTATGATAAAGTTAATAGTATTTTGATAGTATGCAGACTTTATCTTGGAAAAGAAGCAGTTTTATATATATGTCAGAATTATAAAAGAAATCTTGATAGTTACAGATATTTCATTTTTTTCGAAAAAAATGCTGGAATGAAATGTTTTACGTACCAGGTTTTTCTCTTTTCCGTCTTGCTATATAAGGGCTTTCACCCATGTATACAAATTAAATGATTGAGGTAATTTTCTCATTTGTTACCACTTTTTGGTTTTTCTAAGACAGCACCATAATTAGGTTTATTGAGATAAAATTCAGAGTTAATTACTATCGCATCATTTATCAGGGTATTTATTTAATAAATTCAAAAATTTTTTGTAAAATATTTGATTTATTTTCAAATTTTTACTACAACGTACTTAATAATTTAAAATAATTTCTTGTAAAATTGCAAATTTAGGAAAAATTATTGCTTTAGCACGTTATACGAGTTTATTGTAATTCAAATATTTGTTATATACAGAGATGCCAACTTGCTCCGGACAACAAATATATATTTTAAAGTGGTAGTTTATCAATTGTGATTCTTGGTTTAATAAATTCAATTTAGTAGATTTTTATCCACCACTATTTCAAAAAAATTCGTAGGCTTATATAATTACCACTTTATAGTATTTATGTCATGCTATACCTTTTAAAAGCAAGCAAAAATAGTCAAATATTTGCAGTATTTACTTTGTAGTTATTTACCGTTTTTTTAATTATTTCGGCGTATCCGGAGCAGTTGGCATCTCTGTATATAGAATTTTTAAATTCTTTTAATACCGAAAAAGGTATTAATGCTACTTATTTATGGCTATAAAAATGTAAAGATATTTAATTTATGGGTATAAAATAGGTACTTCCAAAATTCTATAAATGCCTCTCGGCTTCATTGATTCGTCGACCAACTTTATAAAAGGTTTTGTACTATCGCGGCCCAGGCCCGTAGGCCTCATACGCAAAATTCAACTTTATATAAAAAAAGAAACAAATTCAATTTTACTAAAAAATGCCTTTTTATACGAAATTAATCTACTGCCACAATAATTATATTATGCACCTATATTAAAGTAAATATTTATTTCCAAAATACTAGTAGTACCTATAGCAACAATTAAATAAACAACACTGGCTTTGATTACAGTTTGGTGATTTTCTTTTGGCCCCTGAAAATGGATTAGTACCTAATCATTTTACTCGTTTTTTAATTTTTTTTATAACAGAACTGAGCATTTCATGTCGTATATATTCGCTATTACTTTCTATTTTAAATTCGTTATCTATTCTGAGCAGTATTACGATTTAACTACATTATTTATGTGAATACATCAATCAATAAACAACTAAACTTTATTTCGCAGATTACCAAGCATTTGCTGTCATGGCAATTTCGTGTTATGAGAACCAAACGCAACTGCTGAATGCAGGTGAATATAGTAGTTTAAAAACCAATTATGAAAACGTCATTAAACTTTTCAAGGTAGCTCAACTCTCTGATGGAAGTTTTGGAAATCTACATACAACTTCATTAATAACTCAGGTACAAATAAGGGTTGGAGAAAATATGGAAACACTTTTATAATAAGTATGTAAAAAATGTTGTCATAGTCACCCATGCAAAATTAGCATAAACCAAAATGAAGAGTGGAAGTTAATTTTTCTTTCTAGTTTCAATATCAGTGTTGCCAGATTAGGGGTTTCCCCCCTAAATTTAGGTGGATTTTTAGTGGGTATTTTAGAGGGGAATTGGTTTTTAGGGGTTTGTTTTAGGGTTATTTGTGAATTTTACTAGTTTCATTTTGGTTACCTTCTAATATCAAATTCTATAACTGAATGTGTGAGATGGTAATGTGAAAATCAATATGTTAAACCAAAACAAAAAGATTAAGGTATAATTTTAGACCTTTACCCCTTTGTTGAATGTAGTAGGTTATTACTTAGCTCGATCAACCAGTACGTTTGGAGAATTTGAATTCAAAATATTTAAAATTTTTAATGTGCATGGTTTAAAAATAATGCCAAAGGATAAAGAAAAAAAGAAGTACGTACAAAAGTACAAGAAAGATTGGGAATACGAAAAGCAGTTTAAAGGTTTAAGGGTAAAGGATTTTGTATCTACTTCTTCTATGTTAAAAATGTTTAACAGCGAAAACATATACAAATCAGAAAGTATTGACGAAAATATGTTGGATATTTTATCAAAAATTTAAGCATAATGTTAGAATTTAAATATTAAAAAAGACTACATCGTTGATAATAAAATATTTATGAAAAATGTGCAAGTCAAAAAGTATTGAAAAATATATCTTAAATATTTCAGTAGAAATTAAATATAATGTAACGATTGAAATGCAAAAAAGATTAATTTGTTGATAATAAAATATTAAAAAGTATTAAAGCAACGTTTTCTATACATTATTTAACTTTGTACTATTTTTTAATTCTTATACATTAAGTTAAAAATTTTGGTGGTTTTTTAAAAATTTTTAGGGGATTTTACAACGCTATCTGGGGGTGAACGATTATCAGCACCTGGCAACACTGTTCAATATCAATAGTTTTGAAATCATTTTATGGGATCGTATTATTTATGTTAAAATCATTTTTTATTCACTCGTATTCACACTATAGAAAAAGAACAAAAACTGTTAGCTTCTAACTCTCATTTTGATCGATGTAAATTTTTAATGAGTAAAAAAGCCAGCATTTCTGAAATGCTTCAGGCATAATCCTTTTAACTGTGCTAACAGATTTGCCATGTAAAATCTTCCAAAACATTTTCAGCTAAAAGAAAATATGTTTCCATATAGCTAGTATGGAAGTGTTTCTATATTTTTGTTTGCTTTTATTATATTTATTTTATTAAAACAATGTTTTTGATAGTTAAAATCCTTATTCTAAAACAGGGAAAAGCAACAACAAGAAAAATTGAGCATGTTTGTGCAAATTGTCGCATATTTGTGTTTACGTGTAGTGGTCAGTTTATCCTTTCAGATAATCTTTCAATTTTTAAATGTTATATGAAAAGAATATATANAACAGCTATATATATATATATATATATACAATGCCTGAAATTCAACGATTCGTTCGAAGGGCTTGAGGCATCAAAATAATAAGCCACATTTTCTTCAACCACACGAGTTTTCATTAAAAACCCTCTTAAAACGCCGTGCCTAATATGGCATGTTATTATATTTCACTTAGTTCTTCTTGTACCTAGATTGTTAACACTCCTTCTATAAAATATTTTAGGCTTTGATTTCGAGTGGTCAAGAATATAAAAAAGATTGGAAACTCAATGCAACGGTTCATTATCTATTAGAACAGCTGTCTTCAACTCACGATGTTGTCTCTAGTTCCCTAACTCTTCCTGTTCTCAATGCAAAAAGTATAAGTGACATCTCAAAGGTTAATTGCACTTTGAATGCTAGAAGAAATGGATTTGGTAATATCTGCAATTCATTATCTCTTTTTTTATTCAATCTAATCAGCCACTATTAGATCTATGGAAAAGTGTCCTCAGCATTGAAAATACATAAACATATATCTACCATAAATTTTAAATTACTTAGACTTAGAAACTTACCCCTATGCACTCTGTGTTTTTTTCAAAAGTATTGAAATAATTCTATACTAATTCTGTGTAAATATTTTTGCTTTCAGTAGCAAATATCTTGGAAGATTTTACAAGACACATCCGTTGACACTATTCGAAAGATCACGCTAGGAGCTTTCAGAAATTGCTTCTTTTTTTCTATCCAAATGATTACAGGAAGTTAGCTTATTTTTCTTCTTTTATCAATACCATTATAATTAAAAATCATTCTTTTATAAATAATGCTTTCCCGTATAATAAATTAAATGTACTTGTATATAAACTAAAAAAAGTAATTAAGTTCCTCTCTCTATTTTGGTCAATTCGACTACTGCAAGGATAAAAAAGGTCAGATATCCTAAAGTCATTAAACTTAATCTCTTTTGCCGAATGAAATCTACCAAAACAATTGCTGTTAAAAGAAAAATTGTTTGCATAGAGCTCGTAGATAAGTGTTTCTGTGTTTTTGTTCAAACCCAGTAACTCATTTCTCAAATTTCGTAAAATGAAATGAAATATACCAGTGTCACATTAAAGATTCTTTTTTTTTTTTTTTCAATTTTAAATCTTCCAGTTAACCAAGCCTCAGAAATGAATGACTATACAGGACCAAAAGTGCGAGTGCGGTATTCACTTTATGTGGGAGACGAGAAAGATGTGATCCATACTATTTCCCTTAGAGTTCCAGAGAACTACACGGCTTTTGAAGTGATGAAACTAGCTGAAACAGAAGATCCAAAATACACGTACGTATTTGAAGTCCTGTCTCTATTCTGCTATCTCTTTCAGGGACGACGGGATAAAAACTCGCTGACGTATTTTTGGCATTTGTATGATGTTCTAAACTTAAATGTTTATTATCTCTAAACTATGCGGGTTTTAATTAATCACTTTATTTAATTCACCATATGCTGTGTAGCGTGAAGATAGCCAAGGCTAAAGAGAAAACAGACGGGCATGATTACTCTTTTGAAGAAACTCTTGCCGCTCCACATTTCCAATTTCAGACAATGAAGTCACGGCGTTCCATCAACTTCATACTTCAAAAACAGAGTGTTTCGTACGTAAATAGCATTCCGGCATTTTTTTGTGACTTATATTCGTTTTGTGACTTATACGTTGCTTGTTTCCCATAATAATTTTCGTCTAAATTTTTTAAAGTTTTTTTTTCTTATCTGATTACACTGATTTAACAATAGTATTCAAATAGCAGCTTATGTCATTGCGATTTTCGAAAATTCTCATGAAACACAAAAGGAGAAAACCCAGAAAATTCAAAAGTGCCAAGAGAACAATTATAAAATGAGCTCGAAGAATTTATCCAGCTGTGAATAAACACGCAATATGTTATTCAGTTGTTTAACGTTTTTTAATAGAATTCCACTTATCAAATTAATATCAAACATAATAGCAGACAAAAAATTTTGAAGATCAAAAAAAAAATTAATAAATAAAATAAAATAAAATAAATAAAATAAAATATAAATAAATGAAATAAAATAAATAAAATAAAATAAATGAAATAAAATAAATAAAATAAAAATAAATAAAAATCTGAAATTCAAAAGTAAAATTTCATAAAGCTTAAAACTTCATAAATTTATAATATATGATAAATTTATATAATATATANGCCAAATGAATTAGAATATCTCGCAAAAAGAAATGATCCAATATTAGTTACAGCTAGTAAGTAAAAGTGCGAGCTTTGCGCCAAAGTGACGTCACTAGAGTGACGTCGGAGGATCGGCGCGGCGAGAGATACTTCAAAGGAGTGAACCAGCCCTTCTATTCTCTTTAGCCCTGCTTTTGAAGAAACTCTTGCCGCTCCGCGTTTCCAATTTCAGACAATGAAGTCACGGCGTTGCATCAACTTCTTACTTTAAAAACAGAGTGTTTCGTACGTAAATAGCATTCCGGTATTTTTTTGTGACTTATATTCGTTTTGTGACGTATACGTTGCTTGTTTCTCATAATAATTTTCGTTTAATTTTTTAAAGTTTTTTTTCTTTCTTATCTGATTACACGGATTTAACAATAGTATTCAAATAGCAGCTTACGTCATTGCGATTTTCGAAAATTCTCATGAAACACAAAAGGAGAAAACCCAGAAAATTCAAAAGTGCCAACATAGCAATTAAAAAATGAGTTCGAAACATTTATCCAGCTGTGAAAAACATGCAATATGTCATTCAGTTGTTTAACATTTTTTAATAGAACTCCACTTTTTAAATTAATACCGTCCCATAACATGAAAAATAAAAGCAGACAAAAAATGTTAAAGACCAAAAAAAATTTATAAATAAAATAAAATATAAATAAATGTGGAGGTTGACGTCAGGTATAGTTGAAATAACTACGCTTTTGTAATAACAAATTTAATGAAAAAATAACATTGGATTCCCACATAAATGAAATGAAATAAAAATAAATAAAATAAAAATAAATAAAAATCTGAAATTCAAAAGTGAAATTTCATAAAGCTTAAAACTTTATAAATTTATAATATATGATAAATTTATATAATATATAAATTTATATTTATATAATATATAATAAATATATATAATAAATTTATAATTTTTTAATGTCATAATTCTAAATATTTATGTTTTTTTTAATTATAGCTCTTTACTTAAAATATCTAAGAAGTAAAATTTCTATTACCATTTTCCCAAATAATGAGTTATTTTGAAAAAATTTAATTAACACGTAGGTTGTTGTTTCCTAGTTATATAAAGTATAAAAAATTACCATTATTTATGATAAAATTATGTTAAAATTGTTATTGTGTATTATGTAAAAATTATTAAATATGTTAAAATTAGACGTCTAAATTTCACCCAATTAACTATTGTCATTACCATAAAAGTGTCTTTATTTGCTTTCTTTTATTTACCAAAGGAAGAGAAACATTTATAAATCTCAAATTTAATGAAAGATTGAAATTTGATTGAACAATAAAAGTTAAAAACCAAGATTAGAAAACGATAATGAAATATATTTGTCTGATTACAAAATATTATTTTTAATTGCTATTAAGAATACCAACAAAATGTCTGGGTGTTCTATATTTTTGAACAGAAATTATTTGTTAGTTGAGAAAAGTTTGAAACTTATTATCAAAAAAGTACCGAGTCCTCAACTCATTTCTTTCAGAAAGTTTAACAACCAAATTTTCAAATTCTTTAGTTGTGAATTCCGAGATCTGTACAGTGTGACGTCATGGTACGTGGGTAATCGTAGCTTCAGCTTAAGCTTAGTAAGAAATGAGCTCTTCTCTAATAGAGGTAGCAGATTCAAATTCCACCGTAACACTAAGTGTATCTTATTTTGGAACTTTTTGAGCCTGCCCCGTAAGAGGTTCAATATACTAAATACTTTTTTTTTTTTTTTTTTACCGTTGATACTTTCAAGTCCCGCATCATGCTTCCCATTGGTAGAAAAGGAGTTGCATAGCTACTTTTCAACCATTATTAAGTGAAATTTTTCTTAGTGTTATTTTATTCTTGTTCTCGAAAATATATTAATAATTCTTTTTTTGGTTAATAGCGGACACTCTCTATGGCTAAGGCCACGGGGGTGTAGTAGCGTCGCCCACATCATACAACCACGTTTATAGGGAGGTTTACATTCACACAGAAGAAAGGACATAGAACACAGAGAGAGAAAGAAACATCCATGCTCTGAGCGGGATTCGAACTCGCAACCATAGGCTCAGCAGTCGGGCAGGCTAACCACTCGACCACCTGGTCACTATATATTAATAATGTAAATGTATATATTTTGGTCTGAAATTATGCATTTCTACCACTAATGGTTCAGGTGATAGAAATGCATAATATAGGGTTGCCATAGTCTAAAAATGTTTTTAAAGTGGTAGCAAAAGTGATATGTATATATATCATACCTGCCAACTTTTAATCCCTGCCATTATCATTTTTCCCAGTGGTATTAAAATGGAATTAAAACTTCAATTTTAAGCAAACAAATAAGTTGCATTTGAAAAAACTTAAGTTGACAACCATGATAGTAACGCATATTAATATATGTGCTTCATTTTTGTAAGAATAGTGGTGATCAAAATCATTTAAAAATTAAGTTCATAAAAGAAAAAATAGGATATATTTACTACCACTTTAAATATGAAAATAAAATCTTCCGGAAAATCCGGAAGAGTTGGCAGGTATGTATATATATCTATATATATATATATTAAGCCATCAATAAATATTTAATTTAAAGGGAATATGTATGGGTGTAAATTATAACTCATGAATAATTTCATAACTCCCAATAGACTGCTGAATTTAAGCATTTTTTAGTAGTCTTGAAAACTCTTAACTTCCACTAATTTATTTGTTTCTTTTGTAATCACATTAATCTTTTGTAATTACATTGTAATCACATTAGAAAAGAATTAATCTCTTACATTAATCTTTTTTTTTTGTTTCATTTGTAATCACATTTCTTTTGTCATTACATTGTAATCACATTAGAAAATAATTATTTAGTTACGACGCTAATTACCAACTACTTCTACCAAAAAAGTACTCTTTGCTACCATTAAAGCGTTAGTGGGAAAACGGCATATGTGATGTGCTATGCAAAATATACTCTTTTGAACTGTTCGTGAATCGAGGAAGTCATGGATTATTTACTTCCTTAGAAAGTCGGAATTAAATTTTTTTCAGATAAATAAATAAAAAGAAAAATAAATAAAATAAATTAAAAGCCTGTTTATATAAAAAATATTTTAAATACATTTTCTGAAGGTATTTCCCAGAGGTATCGAAGAAACTAATACATTTTTTTAACATGTTCAATTTCGTCATCACTTTATTGAAATTACAAAAAATTGCAGACTTGTTTGCTCAATTTAGGCTTTTAAACCTTTGTCAAGTAGAAAGACAGAACAATTTAGAGAAGTACATCACAAAGAATATATATCCAGGGTTACGACGGGATTTGAACCCGCCACCTCCACGCTTCACACAGCATTTGACGGGCGATACCGCTTAGCTAGAGAGGCTCCTCGTTATCTTTCTTTTTTCTTTATTTAAACAAAGCTGGGTGCCCAGTCCGCGCAGCGGCCCCTACCCCATTCATCGTGAAAATTATGTACAGTGAATAAAACATTTTGAAGTATGTAACAATGTGGTAACATTATAATAAAGTAACCATGATTAGAAGTATGCACAAACTTGATCGGAGAGCTCCTCATTATCACTTAAAACCATTACATCTTTATTAATGTGTGTTCTTTTAACATATTGGTGGTAAATCCTACTTTATGCTTTAACAAATTTGCATGAGTTAGTGCAATGTATTTCATTTGAAAAAAATGTGATTTTTGCATCAATTTCTTTACAGTTTTAAATACAAGAAGATTTCTGGTATGATGTATGTGTATCAAATTGGTGAAATGATTAATGATCCTGAAGTAGGTTATTTCTGGACTCTTTATCAAGGCCAAGAAAATACGAATGCTACTCTTAACCACTACAATTTGAGTAAGTCTTTCATGAGTTACAATTTACACTAATTTACCATTTCAGAAACGTCAACTGGTCTGAATTCGACAAAACGTTTCAAAAAGCAATAGAAAACTACAAACTAAANTCTTTCAGCTTCATAATTTAATTTTTTAATGTCATAATTCTAAATATTTATGTTTTTTTTAATTATAGCTCTTTACTTAAAATACCTATGAAGTAAAATTTCCATTACCATTTTCCCAAATAATGAGTTATTTTGAAAAAAATTATTTAACAAGTAGGTTGTTCTTTCCTAGTTATATAAAGTATAAAAAATTACTAATTTATGATAAAATTATGTTAAAATTGTTATTGTGTATTATGTAAAAATTATTAAATATGTTAAAATTAAATATGTCTAAATTTCACCCAATTAACTATTGTCATTACCATAAAAGTGTCTTTATATGCTTTCTTTATTTACCAAAGGAGGAGAAACACTTATAAATCTTAAACTTAATGAAAGATTCTAATTTGATTAAACAATAAAAGTTAAAAACTAAGATTAGAAAACGATAATGAAATATATTTGTCTGATTACAAAATATTATTTTTAATTGCTATTAAGAATACCAACAAATTGTCTGGGTGTTCTATGTTTCTGAACAGAAATTATTTGTTAGTTGAGATAAGTTTGAAAACTATTATCAAAAAAGTATCGAATCCTCAACTCATTTCTTTCAGAAAGTTTAACAATCGAATTTTTAAATTCTTTAGTTGTGAATTCCGAGATCTGTACGTTGTGACGTCATGATAAGAGGGGGGGGGTAATCGTAGCTTCAGTATAGTAAGGAATGAGCCCTTCTCTAATGGGAGTAGCAGATTCAAATTCCACCGAAACACCAGGTGTATCTTTTGGACGTTCTTCCCCTGTCTGGGATAATCATGCTTGCCAACTGATTTATCGGAATATTTTCATTTGGATACTGAGAGTTATAATAAATTTCATGATTTAACACTTTATTATAGATGTAATAAATTTTTTTTGGAACTTTTTCGAGCCTGCCCCGTGAGAGGTTCAATATACTGAATACTCGTCTTTTCTGTTTTACCGTTGATACTTTCAAGTCCCGCATCCAGTGCTTCCCATTGGTCGAAAAAGAGTTGCATAGCGACTTTTCAACCCTTATTACGTGAAATTTTTCTTAGTGTTATTTTATTCTGGTTCCCCAAATTATATTAATAATGTAATTGTATATATTATGGTCTGAAATTATGCATTTCTATCACTAAAGGTTCAGGTGAGAGAAATGGATAATATAGGGTTCCTATAGTCTAAAAATATTTTTAAAGTGGAAGCAAAAGTGACATACATGCATACATACATGCATGCATCCATCCATCCCTCCATACATACATACATAGATAGAAAATATTAATTTAGTTACGACGCTAATTATCAACTACTTCTTTAAAAAAAAGTACTCTGGTACCATTCAAGCGTTAGTGGGAAAACGGCATATGTGATGTGCTATGCAAAAAAATCAGCAGAAAGATTATACTTTTTTGAACTGTCCGTGAATCGAGGAAGTCATGAATTAATTACTTCCTTTGAAAGTCTAAATTAAATGGTTTTTCAAATAAATAAAATAAATCAAAGCTGCTTATATAAAAATATATTAAATACATTTTCTGAAGGTTTTTCACAGTGGTATCGAAGAAACTAATACATTTTTTTTTAACATGTTCAATTTTGTCATCACTTAATTGAACTTACAAAAATTTGCAGGCTTGTTTGCTCAATTTAGGCTTATAAACCTTTGTCAAGTAGAAAGACAGATAGAACAATTTAGAGAAGAACATCACAAAGAATATATATCCAGGGTTACGACGGGATTTGAACCCGCCACCTCCACGCTTCACACAGCGTTTGACGGGCTGATACCGCTTAGCTAGGGAGGTCCCGTCGTTATCACTTAAAACGATTACATCTTTATTAATGTGTGTTCTTTTAACATATTGGTGGTAAATCCTACTTTATGCTTTAACAAATTTGCATGAGTTAGTGCAATGTATTTCATTTGAAAAAAATGTGATTTTTGCATCAATTTCTTTACAGTTTTAAATACAAGAAGATTTCTGGTATGATGTATGTGTATCAAATTGGTGAAATGATTAATGATCCTGAAGTAGGTTATTTCTGGACTCTTTATCAAGGCCAAGAAAATACTAATGCGACACTTTACCACTACAATTTGAGTAAGTCGCTGATGAGTTACAATTTACACTAATTTACCATTTCAGAAACGTCAACTGGTCTGAATTTGACAAAACATTTCAAAAAGCAGTAGAAAACTACAAACTAAAATTAGCAGATTCTTGGTAAATTTTGCCAACTTTTTTAAAATGCTCAACACAGCGAATTAGTTTCAAAGTGTAGTATCTTATAAGCGTTAGAGCTATTTAGAAGTAGTAGTGAGTAAAAACCGTATAAATCGAATTTTTAAACCAAAAGCATTGCAATTTGGTAACCTTACATTTGCTTCAGAAATAAAGTGCTTACATTGTAGTTAGTCTTTTTTTTATTTTTAACTTATAAATTATGGGCCGGGATAGCCTGGTCGGTAGGGCGTTGGGCCCATGTCCGACAGTTCGTGGGTTAGAAAAAACTAGAAAACGCACACTCTGCCCTAAATTTGCTCGGTTTCACCACGCAGGCTTGCCCATGTGGCAAGTTGCATTAGAAACAACAACTTATAAATTATGTCTTTTCTTAACTCTTTCGGGCCGACTGTCACAAATACGTGTCAGCATAAAACCGTATCAACCAGGGTAAAAATATAAAACTGGAATTCAAAGTATTTCTTCAGCAGTTTATTTGTGGGCGGAGTTATAATTGTTTGATTTATTTAATACACCATTACTTTGTTCAAAATAAAACTATTTAGTTATACTTTGAATTAACATTGATTACATATATGATTAAACTAACAATTATTAAAGTAAAAGCTAAGTAAGCCTGTTAAATTAGCAACGAGTACATTTAAGTTACCGTTTTTTATTTAATTACAACTTGATTCTCATTTTGTACGAATGCTTTTATGAATAAACCGTACCCAAGGGGTTAATGAACCTTTCAGGAGAAAAAATGTTTTGATTATACATAATATAAACTTAGAAATAAATCTCTTTAGTGGAATTTTGAATTACAAATTTTACATTTTTGTTCAGAATCAACAAAGCTCTAGATCGCCCGTTCCTGCCAACTCTTCCGGATTTTCCCGAAGATTTTATTTTCATATTTAAAGTGGTAGCAATACTCAGGTTATTCCAATTAACTTTTTGAATTATAATGATAGTTATAAATGGGTTTGACTACCACTACATATAAATAATTACAATAAATATATTTAAGCATAATAATCCATGCGCAAGAGAATTACAACGGGATCAATATATAAATATATTTGTGAATCAGATAGTTTATTGTTTAACAATCACTCTGAAAGTCCATTCTCGGAAAGAGTGAAAGTTGGCAGGTATGTTCGCCTAATTAAGTTAAATTATGCTTGGTTAATCTTTGTGATGAAAAATACAGTATTGCAGTAAATAGCGCATTTATAAAAGATTAAATTCAGTAAAAAAGCATTACTTAAACAGTGATTAATTGTACAACTCAAGTAAAACATTGGTTAAGCAACCAACATAACATGCTGTACACAGACTGATGTTATTGTAAAAAGAGAGCAACATAAATATCAAAGGAACTTGAACTACACTTGTATTCAAAGCAAGCCTTAACATAAATTCGTAAATGTGTTCATTTTTTGTACACCAGTTTAGCTCTCATCCTGGCTGTTTTGAAATAGGTTTTTGAATAGCAAGATAGATAGGATAAAAACAATTGAGTGTTTTGAGTGATCACAAATATCACGTTTGAGAACGCCAAGAAGAACAGCCACTACCCAAAAATGTCATTATCTGAGTTTTGAATTTTCTTGTAATTATTTTTTTTTTCTCTCATGTATAGCTGCCAACTTTTCAGCTCAATAAAGAACAGTTTTCACTCACAGTAAATTAACCATTGTAAGTTTATTAAAACAAAAAATCACTAGCAGTTAAAAATTATATTGAAAGGGTATCAATTTTTTTCAGTACGATTAACGTATTTCTACGCATTTAAGGTGAAAATAAATTGTTAATCCAATTTATCATAGTAAGAATCAAATCAGAAAGATTCGTTTGTAATGCCTTGTAATGAAAATAATGTCTCTTATGGAAAGTAAAGACTTGGCATCTAAGCTTATCGAAGTTAATATCTGTACTTTAAGACATGTTAATTTGATGCAACTTTTATACCATACTAGTAGGCTTCGCCCCCTGCTCGCTGGCCCTCGCCAACCCCCGGAACTGTGTTTTCAAAACGTAAACATAACAAAGCAAACGTTGCCACCAGCGGAAAAGAAATACAGCCAAAATTTGGGAGCCACGTAGAGAATTATATATATTAGATTAAGTAGAATCACACAGTAATGTATTGAAGTTAAATACGAAGAGTTACAGGTAAATATAGTTCAAATTGTTCAGGAACTGCAGCTTCTGTAACTTTTCATGATATTTTTTACAGGTTAAGACTTTATTTTTCAAAATATTGCACGGTTTTCTTAGGCTTTAGAAAAACTTAACCTTTGTGGTTGTATTTTGTTGACAATTAGTGAAAATTGGTGGCTTAGAATTGCCATACAACCGCGTACAGATAATATATTAACTCAATGCGGTCGTATGACGCTATAGTGGTAGTAAATTCTCATGGTTTACGTTTATAACAGCGGAAATTCCCTTTTTTACGATAATTTAATTAGCGTTAGGAGATCTTGTAGAGCACAGTTCTCAAACATGCGTATTTTTTCATACAATAAAGTGATAGTTATTGGCTCCCATAAAGGGGGTTGAAAGGGGGAATATTTGCACCCCTTGAAATCTGATAAACTGGAAATCATATATATTTTTTAAATGTTATTAATTATTTTTTGTTTTAAACAATTAGAAATAGTATTTATTACGTGTCATATGAAATCTATTTCAACTTATAAACTAGAATTTGAAATTTGCCTTGTTAAATTCAATGCTGTAGTTAATAAATATTCTTTGCTAATATAGAGAAAAATATAATAATAATAAATTAATAAAATATAAGAACTCTATACTCTGTTGTAGGTTAAGAAGACAGAGGGAGGGGGTATTTTAGACCCTCTCCTAAAAAACGTTCATTAGATCGTTCTTGGGTTTAATCTGCTAAAAACATATTTTGCTTAATCTACTAAGGTAAAGTCACCGGGAGGAAGAAAATATGACATTAATTTGACAAAATATGACATATATTTAGGACAGTTCCTTTTTTCAAAGACATTCATTGTAGTGGGAAACTTTTTTCAGTATTTTCATTTATCTGGGTAAATTAAAAGATTCTCAGATACCACAATGATTTAGTTATTTCTAATTAGATGTAGAATTATAAGCAGCAAGTACTTTTTGATCTATCAAAGACTTTTTGAGTGCTCTAACTGTAGAAGAACCAATTAATTTCAATAATATATTTTACCACTTTTTCCATAAACCACTTTCTGAATCATTTCAATATATAAATTCGGGACAAAACGGGTTAAATGAGAACTGCCACTAATGTGGTTTTGAAATGAAAAACACATATCTAAAATAAGTAATAGAACATCTTTCTGTTAACTATCACTGAGCACTTATAAAAATGCACAAAGCCTAAATTTAAAATCCAAATGTAAATATTATTGTAGTTAATAAGTAGTGGTGAATAGTAACTATCTGGTTCTTTTTCGAAATCAATTCTAATACAGAAACATTGAATTTACCACTGTTTTCTAATAAAAGAACACTTTAATACAAGAATTGCATGTTTTGTATTTAATTAATCCCCCCCATCCAAAAAAAAAAGGATTTCGAATAGTACTTTGCAATACCCTGACTAACAGTTAATTTTTTTTCTTTATTTAATACAAATTGGTGCCTGGGCCGCCCCTAACCCATACATCATGAAAATAGTATACAGATGAAAACATTTTGTATTGTGCATCATTATGGTGTCTAATAGTTAATTCAATTTCGCGACTACATTTGTTTATTCGGAAATATTAATTGTAGTGGTGATTACGAAATTATTGAAATACTCCTTATTATCATAATTTTGTTACTATTCCTATATCTGTATAAGGACTGGTAGAACCCTATGTTTAACATAACTTTATATGTCTGAATAATTATGGATTTAATTTATCCCTATTTTTTATGTTCACTAAAATAATCAATATTTTATAAACTTCTAGAAAAATATTATTTATTTTATTTCTGTAGGTCCTGATCAACTTGTTATGCAAGATAAAGAACATCTCGTCATGTGGTACAAGAAAGCTCATTTCTGAAAAAAGAAAATCTCAATAATTTATTTTTACTTTAACTAGCAAAATTGTACTTATATTGAACTATATAAAGGAATATATTAAAAAGTCATTTCTGATTGCATTAAGTATAGTTAATATACATGGTGAATACACACTATTTGTTAATCTTTGAATGGCGGTCAAACTCATTTATTATTATTATATTTTAAAAAGTTTAGCGGAACATAACATGAGCTTCGCTATCATTTTAAATATGTAATCTTCCGAGAAAACCGGAGCTATGCATATATAATATTAGATTAAAACATATTTATAGCTCTTCGGTATTTAACTGACACGAACAAGAAACTGGTGGACAATTACAATAATGATTTTTCTGATCCATTTGCTCCACAGCTTATGGATACTATTACTAAATCTCATCTGATTCATTGTAGCTCCGTAGTCTGTCTTCCACGCAAAATGAATGATTCATTCACTATTCATGTAAAATTGAAAAAAAGTATAGCTTTGAAATCATATTTTATGTATGAACTTGTGAATCCGAAACGGATGTATGATGCAGCTTACAATCTCCTTTAAATACCATTATACAAATCCGAAAATGTTAATATTGATCTCGATTGGCTGTTCAATGTCTCAAAAGAATTTACACAGAATGTGTCTGAGCTGCTTTGAAATTGTGTACCGAGAAGTTGTAGATTAACAGTTAAAGATGTCCTAGATGAAAACCCAATAAAGTTGCTTTTCCAAGGAAAATTTGACAATAACCATTTTGCCAATGAGTAACCGGTGATTGCCTTGCGGCAATCACAATTTTCTTTATTTTGTAGTGAATTGTATTTTTCAAAATTGTATTTGTTTGAACTGGAAGTAAAGATTCTTTAAAGTATATTGAAATGATAAAACTATTTCAAACACATTTTTCAAGAAAAATAGCGAAGGAAAATTTTTTAAATTTATGAAAGACATTAAACTAAAATCTTAAAGCGCATTACTTTGCGCGTTAATCCTTAGTAATATATAATTTCCTTTGTAATATATTTCCATCAGCACTGTAAGTGGAGATGGAAATAAATAACGAAGGTGACGCGTCATATGTTTCTTGATTTTTTGAAAAAATTAAAAATATTTTCAAATTTTTAAATCTAATTGAAAAATTTTATTATTACATTGCGTTAGATAAAATTAATTCGATTTTCAAATAAAACTGTCAAATAAATCCTAATTATGAAACACGCAGTCATAATTTTTTAATGGTAAAATGAAAGCATTCTTTTCAAAAGGTACAAGGCAACATAGTTATGCTGCTTTAGATATATTTTTTATAGCGCATTGCATTTATATTCTCGCCAATAAAATTAATCGAATAAACTGGATCAATTTTATTTCATTAAAAATAATATATTTTAATAAAATATATATAAAAAACGCGGCAAGTATTTGAATTACATATGAAAAATTTTCATTTCACAAATAAAAAAAATTCTATCATGTTTGCTATGGTTTGAAAGTATTTACCACCGTGATGTAACCATTAACTTTTTTTTTAAAATAATAAATGATAAGAATGGATTATTGTGAAAAGTTGCTGAAATCTTACAAGCAAAAAACTGAATTTCTAAACAGTCATCTCATTCATTCTTAATCAATTCCAATTTTCCCAATGCCTTATATCTCCCTGGTTTATTTATGTTTTAGAGATTGTCTAAGCCAGCAATTTTGTTTTTCCATCTGATAGGCAATCAAAGAAGGAGAAATGATAGTAAGAGCCCATATCATTTGACCTCTACACTCCAATGGTTTCTTACTTCACACTATCTATTCTAAATATGTTCTCTGAATGTAGATATTCGAAATATAGATTGTCTCAGTGATTAAGAGTGTTCCGTATCTCCACAGATGTTTAAGTAACTGGACAGTTACCAAAGATTTTCATTTTTTTCCCTTTTGAAGTTAAGATTTCGGGGTACGAAAATGATTCAACTGAATTTAGCTTTCTTTGTTTTCGGAATATTATTTTGTGTTACATGTAAGTATATCTTTAGTTTCCAACACTTCTAAAGATTTTTTTTATTCCATTCTATTGTAATATTTTTTGCATCCATCTGCATTGTTTAAAAGATTCTGTATTTTCCCAGATTATTATGGTAAATTAATGACTAGTCACGTGAAAGTAAAAACAAAGAAAAACAATTTTATAACAGAAACGTTTAATATATTTCGCTGATTACTGAACATTAATACTTTAATACCTCACAATACTTAAATTGGTAATGAAGTAAAAGAGATACGCAGAATAATTTTAATTTTGCTAGCAGTTTAAAAGATTCTTTTTGTCATCTTATCGTTCATTACTGTTTATTTTAATATTTCTCTAATTGTAAATCGATTAATTTTGAATAACTCTATAGAAGTTCTGTGCTTTTGGCGAAATATTATTTTTTTTTAGAAAAATCTTACAATTTATTAATAATTTCAAAAATGATGCATTTATAAAAGTATATATTACTTTTTCTCAACTGACTTTTTAATTTAAAGTAAACTAGCCAAATTTAAGAATAGTTTTCAGAGAAACAGAAATAAGAAATAAGTTTTTCTGAGAACTACTTTTTTTTTGAAACTATAATTCAGCTTATTTGATTTATTTTCAGCTTATGCATGCACCATAAAAAAACTCTTAGAACTAGATTAGAAACCATTACAATACCCGTGAATTCAACTACCTGACATGAAACCTAATTTTAAAATTTTTATTTCCTAACCAGTGAAAAAACTTGAGATAAAATATTTTTAAGCTAATCAGTAATCTTTCTGTCGTTAATGTTTATCGACAGATGCTAATGAACTGAATTTATTAAGCCAGCGTCACGGTTCTGTCAATAAAAGATAGATTATATAGGGTTCCATCGCCGAAAAATATGGGAACCGCTGCTCTAAACCAGAAGTTTTCAACCTTTTTAGTTGTGCAGATATAAAAAAAAATTAGAAAAAAAGAAAAACTTTAACACCTAACTACTTAATGTCCCAGTAAAAAATATAATGGCAAATTGACATCGATTATATGGGTATGACGAATACGAATAAATTTACGATAGATGCAAATAATGTACACATATGGCAGTAATTGGCAAAAACATATTGCACAAGAATAAAAAGAAACCAATTAAAAAACTTGAGATAAAATATTTTTAAACGGATCAGTAATCTTTCTATCGTTAATGTACATCGACCGTTGCTAATGAACTAAATTTATTAAGCCAGCGTCACGGTTCTGTCAAGAGAAAATTTTTCAGTTGTGCGGATAACCAATTTTGAAAAAAAAAAGAAAAGAAAAACTTTAACGCCTAACTATTTAATGTTCTAGTTAAAAATATAACGACAAATGCACATCTATTATATGGGTCTGACGAATACGAATAAATTTACGATATATACAAATAATGTACACATATGTCTGTAATGGGCAAAAACATACTGCACAAGAATAAAAAGAAATATTACTTTGCAAAGAAAATAACTTTATTGTATTCATTGTGCATTGTAGCCGTTACAGCTTCAATACTCATCATAAAAAAACCTTTATGGGAATTTTAACACTATTTGCCTTCCTATATCAAGTTAATAATTAAACTGCATCTCACAAAGACTAGTATTACAGCATGTCCGGTATTAATAGCATTACTAGGACAGTATTTATCTTGGCTTAGACATTCGACCAAGCGTCCAAGGCTAAGTACCACGCTGGATTAGAAACCGATGCCTTAGACATTCGTGTTTTGTCATTTTAACACAAAATTTCTATAGCATCTAATTTTTAAAAACTATTTTTGAATTATTGGCTGTGATAGATGATGAATCACTGAATGAAAAAGAAATTGATATTTAAAAGATCTTGTTATTAAATGAATAAAAATGTTTTAATTCAATATATGCAAGAATTGCATTTCACTGAAACTCAAATTAACTTCTCTGGATGTTTTTAAACATTTCCTTGCAAATAATTTTTTTTGTACAGTCAGAGTTGGAAAAATTTTAATAAAGTCAATTAAGTATACACAACCTACATTCAGTGAATAGCTTAAAAATAAAAATGTATGGAAAACTAAGTAGTGTATAGTAAATGAATGTAGATATTTGCAAGATTTAGTTAAATGAATAAAAATATATAAGACATATTTTTATTCAATGTGTAGGAAAAAAATTTCATTCAATAATTAAAATCAATATATAGAATTTTATTAAAAATATATTTAACATATTTTAATTCAATATATAGCATTTCATTGAAAATCGAGTTGACCACTTAAAATGCTTTTAAACTCATCAGCAAGGACCTTCAAAAATATTTTTTAAGAAGAAAAAGATGTGATTTTATAAAAGTAAAATATATGTAACCCACACTTAGTGATTTCTTTAAAAAAAAAAAAATTGCGTAGAAAAACAAAGCAGTCAACATTTACTTTAAAGAGTTACCACGTAGAATAAATCAAATTAAAATTCTTAATATGTGATTAGATTTTGAGAGAAATATGCATGTTCTGATGAACACTAAATAATGAACATAAGATTAATACTAAAAATAATTACACTACTTACAGTTTCTTATTTTATTTTACAGCTTCTCTTATTCATATCTCGGGTCGTCGTGAATCTTGTATAGAAGAGAAAAGAATATCTGGAGAAGTATCTTCCAACAAGGCTGAAGAATGCATAGATATACATGTACCACCAAATCAATTTCTACGATTGAATATTTTGGAGCTGAAACTTTACTCTTCGGTAATATATTATACAATCAAATAAATTTAAGAGTAAAACCTCTATCTTAGAAGACATTTTAATTTATAAGTGACGTACACTTATAACTGGATCAGTAGATTGTTGTAATTAATATGTATAGCAAAAAACATAAACAGTTCAGCATTTGCTCTGTTGCCCACTCCCTGCGGCCGCGACGGTGCATTGCTCTTAATAGGACACACACCATTGGTCGATGAGCATACAGAACTACAGCGTGAAGGCGGTTTCGGCCAGTTAGTGTGTCGAAACTGTGTTGCCAGTAGCCAAGCGAAGGTGTTATTCATGGAGAGTGGCATTCATATTATGGTGTCTCCGAGCCGTTAGTTTTATAAAACGGGTGTTGTTGCACATCTACGCCCTTGCCCTGATTTTCAGGCTCTAAAAAACGGTTCCAGATCCTGACAATCACACTTCGTAAAACTCAAATGTCTTCTGCTACTTCGACTCGTGTTTGGCGACCGGCAAACAACTCTATGACTATGAGGACTCTAACCGGCAAACAACTCTTCGAGCTTCTGATTCGGTTAAATAGTACCATCGGTTGATTAGTACCATCAAAAAAGTGCTCTACAAAAGCAACTTTCTCCCAATACTTGATCCAGAAGTTCCTTTGTTTTCTAGATTGGATTCAAAAGTACAAGCCGTACCAAAGTATTTGAGCAGGCAGGCCTGCATGTATAAGCATATATGAAAAAAGAATATCATATGCGTTGAAATAAAAACAATGGATAATTCAATAAGAAATTTTATGCATAAAATGCTTCTCTTGGACAATCAAATTAAAATTTTTGAACGATTTTTCAATATTGAAAGCTAAAATTGCATCTTTCACCAACTGTTCAAATTTGAAGGTAAGTAGATATTTTTTGTCGCTTTAAAGCTGCTTAATTGTTTATTGGCGATGGTTGAAAACCATCCCTGAAAATCATCCAAAGACATCACATCGCAATTTTGATCTTTTGCCGCGGGGATGACTCAAATGCTTTGTTAGTCAGACAAGTTGTGCGTAAAGTCCAGCACTACGGTAGAATAGTTTAACCGCAACGCTCTACCCTCCGTCCTTACGCAGGCTGATCAAAATGGTCACCCACCCGCTTAATGACCGCAGCCATTGATGCTTGACTTCAATGTTCTGCTGGGAACCGCGTCTTTGCAATCAGTGCACTGCGGGACCTCAAATTTTAGGACTATCACAGACGGTTCTGGAGTCACACTCACGCACATAATAGAGTTATACATAACCTTTTCTGAATATAGGAGAGCATGTTTTCAGAAACTACCGATAATCCTTAGTAGTTGAAGGGTATGTTTTGATCAAATAGTAAAAATTCATNGTCCAGCACTACGGTAGAACAGTTTAACCGTAACGCTCTACCCTCCGTCCTTACGCAGGCTGATCAAAATGGTCACCCACCCGCTTAATGACCGCAGCCATTGATGCTTGACTTCAATGTTCTGCTGGGAACCGCGTCTTTGCAATCAGTGCACTGCGGGACCTCAAATTTTAAGACTATCACAAACGGTTCTGGAGTCACACTCACGCACATAGAGTAATACATAATCTTTTCTGAATATAGGAGAGCATGTTTTCAGAAACTACCGATAATCCTTAGAAGTTGAAGGGTATGTTTTGGTCAAACAGTAAAAATTCCTCTTAAAAATGATTTTCTAATAATTATTACTAAGGATATGTTTTTTTTTAAATTCATGTTCATGCGAAATATTTTATAATTATTCTTCTTTTTTAGGATTGCAGAGCCGTTAAGCTAGAAATCATTATCAAAGGTTCTGAAGATAAATATACGTTCTGTCGGGGTGACAAAATTGGAGATCCTATTACTGCTCTAACTGACGTTCGTGTTCGCACGGAACATAATTCGTTCTTCAAACTGAAATTCTCTATTAGTAAGTTGTAGTTTTTTGCACCTAATTTATATTTAAAAAAAAAAAAAAATAAAGCTAACAATTTGAAATTGCCTCAACGCTTTTAGGTATTAAAAGTTTAAGTTGTGTTAAAACGACATAAATATTCAAAATTCTTTTATAATGCTATATCAGGGCTTGAAATTTTCTCACACCTGATCGGCATTTACGATCAAGTATTTAATACAACCGATTAAGTTTCGTCTTTTCTAAAAATAAATAAATGTTTAAACTGTTTGAAACTAATCCATGTTCATTCAAATTGTCGTGACTCATTGATGTGAAACATGAAAGTAAAGTGCTTTTAAGTGAGTTTTTCTTCTATTTAGAACAGAAACTGGTTAGTCATTCATTAATTAAATTATTGATATTTGGAAACATAGAAACCTTTAGACAACCCTATATTGATTTTCGAAATTATTAATGCATAAAAATATTTTTCAATCTTTTTCCTTTCTAAATTCTGCGAGTTAGCTATTAACTTAAATCTAACTGAATTAGGCTATTAACTTTCTACTAGATTTTTGCTTTGCTAACACCTGATAGTTCTTCCTAACGTTTTAAAAACGTATTATGAACGAAAATTTCTTATCTTTCATGAACGCAAAATAGTGGCAACTAAAACATTTATGTATGCTAATATCTTTGGAACTGAAATTTCATGCCCTTTGCTATAGTATAATGTTAAAAAAAAAATATTTTTTTTACAAATATAATAAGTTATTTTCAAGATTACTAATAATATTACTGAAGCTAAAAAACAGTAATGATTGACGTATACGATCTCTTATTACAGCAACACAAAATTACTTCCTTCATGCAATCACGATTTGACACATTTATAATTCATTGAAAGTATTTTGATTCATTTTTGTCTATGATTCCATGACAAATGTTTCATTCCTTTCGACTCCGATAATTTTTACACATGATCTTGTGTGCGTTTAATGATTGTTTAATAGTTATTATGTTTGCATTATATTCGAATGCCATTGTATCTGCTCTTAATATATGCCTTTTGATATGAATATCAAAAAGATAATTTATTAAAGCTTTGAAATCGAAATTTTCACATTAATATTCAGATGAGTCAAAATCTGTCGAATTTGTTACACAAGATCATGAAAAATTTATTGAAATACCAAGTGAAATTTTAACCAGTGTAATTCAACATTCTGCCCCTTTACATAAATTTAGTAAAAGAACATTCTGTTCTGTTCATTTTGCAGGCGATATTGAATGCTTACGTAACAGCAGTTTTCACTGTTCTAATCATTCTTGCATCCCGAGTGAAAGATTGTGAAAATGGGGCTGATGAAGTTGGATGCGGTAAGTAGTTCTTATCTTTTGCGCACGATATTTCTTCTAAAAATAATAATTTTTTGTGAGTGTTCAGGTATTACAAAGCCCTTCAAAAAGTTAAAAATTGATGTTAATACTGTATTTATTTATTTTTATAAACTTTCTCTTTAAATTTAAAATTTCTATACCTACATGATCTATTTATCTGAGTACACAGCCCATTTAAGTGCTTTAACTCATTTATCTGATTGGGAGAGAATATAACAATTGCGTAGGGCTGATAGTAAAATGGGTGGCAGGGGTGTTGTGTGACCTAAGTCCTGAGGACCGGCTTCCTCCGTGGTTTCCACAGGCTGCATCAGGAAAGGTCCTGATTATACAGAAATAAAATAAAAATAATGATAATATAAGATTAAATATAAAAGGGGAAAAACTATATACATTATTTACAAAATTTCTTTGATAGATCAAATTTCTTGATTAGATATATTATTGAAAAAAATGAAACATAATGTTGAATATACATGCCTGCCAACTACACCGCGTTTTGCGAAATATTTTATAGGAAGGTAGACATTTGAAAACATCTCCACGGAATAGTTATAAAAGAGGCAATGAATATGAACTTTTTAAAACATTTATATGTAGCGATGTGAAAAATAAGTTTAAATGAATAAAAAATACAGTAAAACATTAACTTAGCAAGCAGTGAAATAAATTTTTATAAAAAGCATAGACAGTTGGAAACCTTGGATATAAACTTATAAATTACATTTTATTTTCTACATTTTGTTACTACTTTCTAAAACTTTTAAGGACCGAACAAACTCTGGGAAAGTTATCAGCTGTTTTGCTTTCTGCTAAAGATCTTTTAAAGAGGCTGTGAATTATAAAGTAAATCTTGCAAAAATGGTTAAATGGACGAAGTTTGAAAATAAGAAAAATTTGCATCTGTGATTGCTTCTTCCATTTTATTCAAAAACATCTTCAGTTTTCTATTGAAAGTTAATGTTAAGATTCACGATTCATGAAGAGTGCATGAGCTCGGTGTCTGCCACCAAAGGCGGCAATAAACAAATTCGTTAGAATTAAGAGGGGGTGGATAATTGACGAAGTTATAAATGCCTAGTAGAAATGAGAATTTGTGAGAAGAAAAATAGGAGGAGCGTGCATAAGCATGGTCGTAGAGACCTATTAACCACACCACGATAGTCGTAAGTATAAGCATTCATACGGCTAAAAGGGTAATAATGAGGTAATGAAACAATTAATGAGTAAAATTCCGAGTACATAATAATAAACAATCACCGGGCTATATACAAATTAGAAAGACGGCGATAAGGAGTAATAATATTTAAAAACGAAAGTCGAAAATATTGAAATAAAAATTTTTTTAGCATCATTAAAAAATTTTATGCTGAGCTTGGCCTTATGACTATTGATATCATCAATCTAGAGTACTTTTATGGTGTTAGGAACCCCGAGCAACCATCTAATAATTTTGTCTTCTGCTGTAGATGATTTTTTCTTGAGGGAGTCAAGAAGTGGGGTGAAAACAGGTGAATAGTAGGTTAAAATTGGTCTTATGTATTGTAAGTAGAATAATATCAGTTCTTTAAATTGAGGTGGGAATATTGATTTAGTAGTGGTTATAGAGAGTGTGGTTACAACGACTCCAAACATGAATAACGTTAAATGTAAGTCACAGCTGTAGTTACGATTGAATAATTAAAGAGATAATAAATAAATAAAAGTGAATTGAATTTCTACCACTTTTTTGCGTTTTTAGTCACCTGTGACATTCCTGTACTTTTCAACCATTAAAGCGGACAATATTTTTCCTAAGATTTTTTTATACTATTTACCTATCTCACTGACTGTTACGAGCATGATGAATGAGCAAAAGCGTACCTGGCAACTTTTAATTCTTTCGAGGATGATTTATCCCTGTGGTTGTAAAAGGGAATTTAAATTACAGTTTTAGACAGAAAGGTACGCTGCTTAAGTCCGCATAATAGCTTATGCGGACTACCACAAACATTTACGTATAAAGTTAGGGGTCGGAGATCACATGAAGGTCCTTTCACATCTCAGGGAATATCCATAAAAATATGGGGATGGGGATAATTACTTGTAATGTTTAGAAAGGATGTTATCTGAGAGTAGGAATGATATAATGGGGTTATGTTGTCTCATATCAAGTAGTAGGTCTTTATATGAAAGCTCGTTGAAACCTGCGGGATCAGGGTCTTCGGCCTTATTGAAGAAAGAGGTAATCAATTTATTTTTATGTTCATTAATGGTACTTAGATTTAAATCGTTTCTGATAGCTTTACTGGGTAGGTAATAAGAAACACCAGTGATGCTCTTTAGGATTTAATTTTAAGTTTGCTTCGTCCATCTCCATACTGAACACGCATAAGTCAGTATTGGCCTAATACACATGATGTACAGTTTTCTTTTAGGACTTAGTGGACTACCACAATTGTATTATACACATATACATATACTTAATATTTTTAAAAATAGTGGTGATCAAAAAGATTATAAATGGAAAAAACATATAGAAAGCATACATTTTACTACCACTTTAAATATAGAAATAGTATTTAAGCCTAATGCGTAGAAATTGGCTGGTATGGTGAAGGCAATGACTGCCTCTAACTTCAAAGCACCGATTGTTTTTAATGAATTTGAAAGAAAGACTTGCTCCGGACTAGTGATGTGCCAATCGATTCATTTAAATGAATCGATTCTTTAGAATCAATTCACTAAAATGAACGGTTATATGAATCGATTCTTTGATTCTTTTTTTAATGGTCGTTATAATGGAAGAGTCTTTATAAAAGGTGGTCGTACAAATTAGTTTAGACTGTTTTAGTATTTGAATTAGTTGATCTAGGTCAGGGGCTCTCAATATTTTTCTGCCATGGAACTCTAAATAATTAACGTTCTTTCGGCGGAACACCTGATAAAAGTACTATCTCGTGTAGCCGCTGTAACCTTNCACTATCTCAACCGCTTTATATACACCACATTATAAACAATAGTTCTTATTTTTGGTTATATTTCTATTAATTTACTCATTATATTAATGTTTGTATAACTATGCGTAGTATTTAATTTGTTTTATCTTACAGAAACAGGTATATTAAGCATTAAAGGTGTCACGGAGGCGCGTACGAGCGAAATAACATGGATAAAAAGCAAGCGTTCTTCTTCTTGGGGATGGCATGAAAATACTCCACGAGTTCTATTTTCTCTCTTCTTATCAGGTGGAGTCAAATTTGACGGAACAATCTATGAGGAAGAATTAATGGCAAAGCAAACAGAGCTTAAGACTTCTATTTCTCTGCTTAAGTAATAGTCAAATAGTTATTTTTTAAAAACACTTCCTTATAACTTTAAATAATGATACCATTTTCAAATTGATAACAATATACTTTTGAAAAAAATTATTTTGTTTAGTTGCATTTTTTATTTTTTATTTCCTAACATTAAAAAGTATACATTCATGCTACCGCCTGTTTTTAGGCAAAGGTGGTTTAGGCACTACAATTTCATGACCAACGGCATCAATGTGGGAATGTTATCAACCCTGCACAAAGGTCATAACTACTTTCAAAATAAGCTGGCACCCATCGATCTGATACTTGGTGGGCTTCAAGCAGTCACAAGGGATCGCACTTCAAATGTTCAATATGACCTGAATATTCAATAGTGCCTGATAATGTTCTGATAGTGCCTGAGTCACTTAGCTAGCGCGGCTGTTCTTTATCAAACAATGCTTAATATTTCTCAGGGTATATATGACCCAAAAATAATCACATTAGTTAAAGAATCGAGATTTGGCGCCCCACTACCGCATGATATTTCACGGCTTTCTTTTCGTGCAAAGCAAATTCAAGAACTTTTAAAATTTATAACCTTTACGAAAGTGAGCCATAGGAACTGTAGAGATAATTTCATTTTGATATTCAACTTCTATTAAAGGAAATTCTAAAAACAGTAATCTTGATTTTTGTTTCTTTTGATAGTACCAGAGATCGTAATAAATAGCAGGGAAATTTCATTTATTTAAAATGGTTTGAAAACTAAATATATATATTGTAATATTTTATAAACAAATTATTTTTGATGAACAAAAAATATACTTTGCTATTTTTAGTTGCGATTTTTTTTTAAATTCGTCAATTAATTTCATAAAATTAATAAAAAATTCTGAAATTCATTAAGACGCTGAAATGAAACATTTTTTTATGTAATGATGTCTTACTAATTTTAGCCTGAACCATTTATCTAGATGTGATTCTTTAATTTATGATACAATATAATCTTCTGAGTTAAATCAAAGGAACTAAATACGCTGCTTAAAAATAAAATGAAGCGTAAGAGGCTTCGTGAAACGAAAATATGTCATGTATATTTCTTAACAAATCAAAATTTGAGCGAAATAAAAATTAGTGAGCAACGCCAAACTGTCAAATCATATAATATTATTATTCAGATGTAATATTTTATATTTAAATTTATGTTTTATAATAATTTTATATTAAAAGTATAAATGAAACTTATTTTCAAGGGTAATAAATTTTCTAAGATTCTGCAAAATATTTAATACTCGAGTGATAAAAATTAATTGTTTTTACACTTCAAGCATTGATGTACCTAACACTGTTTTTAAAACTTCCTGAATTAAGAGTAAAGTTGTCAAACTATTTTCTTTTTTTCATTTATTTACGAACAATGCATATCCCACATTAAAATACTAATAATTCAATTTTTCAGGAATCCTCTCTCAGCAGAACAACTAAGCATGTTTATAAACAGCTTATTGGTGACGTGTCACAACCCTCGTCAGTTCTATGGACAGAATCTGATAAAGCGTTTAAAAGAGCAAGTGCAGTCTACAACTAACTTTGCGCATCCAATAGCATATTTAACTCTCTGCAACGCTAAAGAACCCTGGCCGTTTAAAGCAACTTCAGATCTTAACAAAATATTAAGCACCGATGCTGACTATACTTTTATTAGAGGTAACTGGACATTCATGTTCTCCAATCTTAAGTTTGTATTATTAAATAACATGCAAAATTTTTTGCAACATTTATAAAAATACTTTATCTTACTTAATTCGGGTGTGGCGATCTCAAAACTGAATTTAGTTTAGTTTCTAAAACGGTGTGGCGTGGCGATCGGGTGTGGCGATCTTTTTTTTCAAAAAGTTATATTTATGTTAGTTAATTTTTTGTTTGTATGTGCAAGTTTATAAAGAATGTATAGACTTACGTGTATTTGTCTGCCCCTCTGAAAATAACACTTAAGTCAAAAAAATACGACCTTAATTTATTCCAACATAAACTGAAATGCATTATCGCCTTCTTCCGACCACTCCTTACGTAGCAGAGAAGTGGGAACACTTAGTATTCTCTTGGGGGAATTTTAAAAATATCTTGGTTGAGAATATAATGTTAAATCAGTTTTGGAAAAGTTATGGAAAGAAAAGTTTTTGGATCAGTTCAGGAAATCAAAATCAGTTTTGAAATCAGCATCGTGAAAATATTTAAGAGTCGTTCAAAAGTCTCATGCAACAGAAAAAAAGTTTTTCCCTTTTGTTATTTATACTAAAATTTAGTCTGTTAATTTAAGACTCTTATAATTTAACATTGTTTGAAAAATCTTTTATTTGCTACAATAAATTATTAATAAAAAATATTAGTAGTTTTAAATATTTTATAAAATATTGAATTGTCTAACTTTACATTTTCAAAAAATTGTCAACTTGTACCATTAAACGAGCTAAATGCATTTTAAATAAATTTAAAAAAAAATATCTTAAAAATAGCTTTAAGTTAAAAGCGCTTTCCACAAATGTGCGAATGTTTATCGATTGCTGTTCCTTGATACCAGTGTATAATTTTATCTTAAAAGAGAGAGTCACAGCGTGGGAAAAAGCAACGCCTCCTATAGCTGAAAGCCTCCACACGGTTTTTTGCAGGTTGTCCGATCGTACCACTGTGAAGGATATCCGCTTTCCGAACGAGTCACTTAATACAAAATCTAGTTTAAATAAGAAAGTGGTAGCAAATATATGACTAAAAATTTTTTTTATTTATGAATATTATTGGTTCGCCTTATTCACTTGTCAACCACTACAGATTTAATTCTCAAGTATATATGATGAATTTCTCTCAATTACTTTTATAAAAGGTTTTAGGTTCATGCGCACAGCTGGTTCACCTTTTAAACAGTCTGCGCGGACTATTTATAAAAGACCGTGTGGACGCTTTTTGATGTAGGAGGTGATGGAATAGGGCTTGAATAGACACATGGAACAGTTCTGTTATTTAGCACTCAAAAATTCTCTGCAAATTTTGTCAGATTGGCAAAGCTATGTTACACTTTTATATGAAGTTACAAGGCTAAAACAATGTATTGTTAAGTAGAAAACTAAAACAAACAAGGTTTTTATGAGGAAAAGTAACAGCCTAATTTTTGTTTTAATAGCAACTTGTAAACTATTTCTATTCATCATATTTAACAATAAGAGATATTATCAATGGTACTAATAACAGCAATTAAATACGCAACACTGACTTTGATTATAGTTGGGTGATTTTCTTATTGCCCCCGGAAATGGAACAGAACCTCATTTTTAGTCGTTTTTTAAATAAAAGAACGACGCATTCCATCTGATTATAAATTTGGTGTTACTTTCTATTTTAAATTCATTAGCTATTCTGAGCTGTGTTACGTTTTAACTACATTGATATGAATACGTCAATTAATAAAATCTATATTTTATTCCACAGATTATCAAGCATTTGCTGTAATGGCAGTTTCGTGTTATGAGAACCAGACGAAACTGCTGAATAAAGTTGAATATAGCAGTTTAAAAACCAATTATGAAAAGGTCATTAAACTTTTCAAGGAGACTCAACTCCCTGATGGAAGTTTTGGAAATCTACATACAACTTCCTTGATAACCCAGGTAGAAATTTTTGCATGTAATATGTCAAAACAATTTCTTAGAATGTTAAAGCCCTCGTTGCAAAACAGGCACACACTGCAATTACAGCGATAAACTGCAATAATAAACGAGATTAAACTGTGAAAGTCAAAGAACTGAGGAAAATGAACTTTTCAATGCTAGCAATAAAAGGAAACAATTAAAATGATTTTATTTTTAACCTTTTCTGGAACCAGGACCTAAGACAGTAATTTTCTTCTGCGACCTAAGACAGTAATTTTAAGTAAAGTAAATTTTTTAATAATTTTTAATTCAATAATTTTTTTATAGAATATTGGATGCTAAATGCTTTTAAGCAATTAGTTTTGCATTTCTAGTGGTTTGTAGCAATTGTTGCATGAGTTTTGCCAGACTGGTTACACTGTACCGTAAATGGTTAAAATCTGCTTCACCACCTGGTTAGGTTTAAAAAAATAGCTGACTAGTTTAAACATAAGTTTGTCTTTTGTAACTATTAAATTGAATGTCATTTGCCAGCAGTGAAGACCATACCCTCCAAAATTTGAGGTTTCTGCGAATAATTTTTTTCCATGGGCGAATAAACAAAAGCAAAACTTTTTCAACGAATAAAATAGTATTCGTCCTTAGTGAAGCATTCTCGGAAAGCGTAAACAAGTAGCTACTATATTTTCTGAATAACAATTAAAATGTTGTATTTGTATAAAATTATTTTATTTCATTACCTTACTATCACTCAATATAACATATTATCAGAAATTACGAAATTTCAAAGAAGCCAACTACTCCGGACACGCCTAAATAATTTAAAAAACAACAAACTAAAATTTGCAGATATTTAGCTAGTTTAGCTTATTTTTTAAAATGTTTCACAAGACTTAATTACAGGAAAGTGGCGAATTATATAACCCTTCGAATTATTTAAAATTAGTAGTGACTAAAAACCTAATGAATCAAATTTTTTAAACTAAGAATCACACATTAGAAAACTACCACTCGTAAATTGTATCTCTGCAAATTGTGTAACAGTTGGAGGGTTATAACGCTTATTGCTATGAGGCTATTTCATTAAGAGGTGGCATAAATACGTTTATAAAAAAGTAATATTATATTTATGTTTAATTGAAGAGAATATTTTTCCCCTTTAAGTATCACTTTCTTTTCAAAACATTTTTGTAACATATGAATTCAAAGTTAATCCTAGATAGTTATATCATCTATACTATGTGGATGTTTTTTTTTCCATATAAATATTATTAATGAAACAATTGCATTACCACTGTTTACTTTCATAAGAACGGAAACCATTCTCGAAATAAGACTATGGATAATGAACAGTTTAGCATAATAAGTTATTTTTGTCAATTATTTCATTATTAGATATGATGTCAGAAAAAAAATATATATTTGTCCATTGTAATATATTAAAGATATAAAACTTCTTATTTCAATATTTAATGCATAAAGCTGTAATACAAATAGGGCAAGCCCGCTATTATATTCCCAATCTCCCTTCAAATATCAGAGGTCCCTCTCATTCTACGATTTTGTAGGAGAAATAAGAGAGACATTCTTCTGTCGGTTCGTGTTTTGTACTTATAGAGGCAATGGAAGAAAGTTAAAAGTTTCAAGGGCATTAAAATTCGAAGAACAGAGAAATATTTTATCATTTTTTGACAAGACTTTACTAAATTAAATTTTGTTTTAAGATTTCAACTTTTTTAATGTGTAAAAACTGTTCGTAACTGTTAACAAATTTACGAAACTTAAAAAAAAGGAGTTTTGAATGGTATTAAAAACAGAAAAATGCATCCTTTGAGCAAGAACAGAAAAATGCATCCTTAGAAGTTTTCAGAAATATCTATAGTAATAAACTGATAATATCTTATTTGTAACATCTCTGTATAGTAATTTTTTATCGATATTTCAATATTGAAGTACATAAAAAAACGTGTTAAACTTTTATTTTAGCATAGATTTTTTAATAGTACGAATGAAATCACGGATATGTTTTCAGGTACTTAAAATGTTCGAAAAAATTTACAAGAAATGATTTTAGACATGGCAAGCAGGCGAAAAATAAAATTAAAACTGAAAAGAAAAAAAAAATATGACCTCAATTTTTAAAAAAATCCATTTCCTTCTTTTTAACTGATTTCATTTTAACATTACTGCTGCTATGATAAGGTTAAACAGCTTTAATTTTTTCGACTTTTTTTTAACGCGTTTTAACAATAAAAAAGCTCTGGCAGTCTCAATTGAAAAATACTTAACGATATTATCAAAGAAAAAATAATATTGTGCTAAGGAATAATTTAGTGTTAGAATAAATTGGAATAGATTAATGCTTAAAGAGTTCTTTTCTTTCAAACACAGACAACGTAAATAAATGAAAAAGATACGAAACAACAATTTTCACTTAACTTTGCCTATTACATTTTAACACTAATATTAAAAAAAATTATATATTGAAAGTGAGTAATTGCATATAATCAAATTTTTAGGCTTAATTGGATTCTTATTCGTTTATGCTTACTTGTAGGATACAGTTGAAAATATAAATTTGGATTTTAAAATTAATTTAATGCAATAATCGGGATTAATACGATATTTTAATGAAAAATAGAACATTCAAAAAGTTAATTAATATAATGAATAAAAATATTGTAATTTAAAAAAGTGATTAATTAACTTACATGTGAGATGTATAAAGTCTTCCCTATAAAAATTTTTCTGTGAAACCAAAATAAAGCACCTTATTTTAAAATTATTGGCTTCAAAATTCCATCATCAATTATCTTCCATTGAAATAAGAAGGAGAAGCGAAAGGTTGAAAATATTCTATCTCGATTCACTTTTTCTATATCCCTGCAATCACGTGGTTTCATTATGAGAACACTTTCGTGATGTGCTTGCTAATATAACCAAAGAAATGTGATTTTTCAAAACTTTTGAAGCAACTTATATGTGATTTTTACCATTTCACATGCTTGAAACTCAAGGATACATTCTTAGGGTTTGATGTATTCAATTGATACCCCACTTTCTCAAATTTTGAGTTCTTTTTTAAACTATTCATCGGTGCTGTTTCCAGATAGGTGTTCATAGCAAATTTCTGGAATTTCTTTATAACAGACAGCCCAATACACAGAAACATCTTACTATCTACATGGAAAGCAATAGGTTTTTCAACAAAAACACTCTTTAAAACGGTCTCCTTAATAAAAATGTGGCATATCATTATATTTCTCCAAGTTCTTCATTTACCTAGATTGTTAACACTGTAATAAACATTTTAGGCTTTAATATCGAGTGGTCAAGAATATGAAAAAGACTGGAAACTCAATGCAACTGTTCATTATCTATTAGAGCAATTGTCTTCGCCTCACGATGTTGTCTCTAGTTCCCTAACTCTTCCTGTTCTCAATGCAAAAAGTATAAGTGACATCTCAAAGGTTAATTGCACTTTGAATTCTAGAAGAAATGGATATGGTAATATCTCTAATTCATTATCTCTTTTATTCCAATTAAATCAGCAACTATTAGATTAACGAAAAAGTGTCTTCTGCATTGAAAATAAAAATATATCAACCAAAAAGTTTAAATTACTTAGACAGAAAAACTTAATCCTTTGCACTCCGTGTTTTTCCAACGAACCACTAAAGACTTACCACTAAAGAAACCACTAATGGCTTACCGTGTAAGAAACCACTAAAGGCTTACAAAACAAAACTTTTCCTGCCAATTTCAACGTTCGTTTAAGATGTTTTATCATAGTGGTAGCAAAATAAAATTTGAACTGTAAGTAGACTTTTCATTTATATTCAGCCCAATATTAACACTTTACCGACCGGTAGCGGTTCGAACATACTATGCCCTTTCACCGCCCGTTCAGCTGCAGATCGTCCGTAGTATTTTATTTAATTTAGTATTTTTCAGTTTAAGTCATTTTTTCACCACTAAATATCAAAAATTATAAGTATCATGTGAAATGCAACGTTGCAGCAATATTCTGCTGGATACTATATTAATAAGTGGGCGTAACTATCCTTCTCTTACGAACTCTACTATATAATTTGCTACCACTTTATTAAAACTTTTCCAGAAAGCGGAGCAGTTGGCATCCCTGCATGCTGAATTGGTGGAAAACGTAGTCACCACAGATCGGTCAAAAGTCGATTAATCGACGACCGGTCGGTAAGCGCTGGGGAGCAAACGCTGAATAATCTACGGCCGGTCGGTATACGATGAGAACAAAACGTCGATTAATCGACGGCCGGTCGGTATGCGCTGAGAACAAAACGTCGATTAATCGACGGCCGGTCGGTAAAGTGTTAAGAACATTAATTGAAGTCTTGTAATTGCTAATAAGTATGTTTGAATTAAACGTAACCGTAGTTTTAATCATTTCAAATCTAACTTATTACTACAAGATTAATTTGGACGTATAAATGTAGCTAACAGATTTATTGTAAAATTAAATCTGCCGGAAGTTTTGGCAGGTCCTTTCCCTTATTTAAAAAAACTGGGCACCTGGGCCGTAGTTTTGGCAAACATGAAAGTAGAGTTTTATATAAACTTTTGAACCATTTACATGAAGTGGTGTGGAAAATAACTTCAAATCTATCTTTAAACCTATCAAGGAAAGAAATATTCATGAAAATAAAAATTTAGCTATCGCTAGAATAATATTTTTCTAAGCAGTGTAAAAAGTTAGCATCCATGCTTACAAAATTTTTTTCAAAACACCTGGAGAATACCTTTCGTCGTACAGGCATCAGAAACGCAGATTTGTTGGTCACTCTTTCAGGGGCACTATATTAGTTGTCCCAGCGCTGTTCCCCACAGAAGGGACAGATAGTACAGAGAATGAATATCTATGCCTTGACCGGAATTCGAACCCAGAACTTTTCTGATGCAAGTCCAGTTCCCTGACCCCTACACAGGCTGGTCGACGCATGCATATAATATTTAACAACCACTAAATATAGTGGTCACTAAACATTAAGATGTAAAAATTATAACAATTAACATGGTGTGCAATTTACAGTTGACACAAATTTAAAGACGCTTATTAGTTTTCAATTGTATAAACAAAGCAATCAAAACAAAGATTTAATAAATCATTAAATAAAGATTTAATAAATCATTAAATAAAGATTTAATAAATCATTAAATAAATATTTAATTAATCTTTGATAAAATAATATCATTCAGTGTGTAAATGACATAAGCAATTTTTTTAAAAAATAATCCATTAAAAATGTATTTTGCATATTAATTTTTAATTTTAGATAAAAGTTAAAGAGTGCCCGAGCTTGTTTAAACTGTAGATTAAGGTCTGTGCAGTTGAAACTTTGTATATAGAGGTATAAGTAGCGCAAGAAATTTCTTCATCGGTTAATCCTGTAGTTATAAAAACACTTAATCTGCTTTTTAAAAGCCTTGATACCAACTTCTTTTTAAGTCAAATAAAACCTAAACAGAAAACTGACTAATAGATAATGTGAAAAGACAAAAACACAACCAATATGATAAAATGACACCAGTCATATGTCTGCTGAGATACAGGGGTTGGGAAAAATTTCGGAAACACTTCTTTACAAACTCATGGTAAACATAATTTCTTTTTTTCAGCAAATGTCTTGGAAGATTTTACATAGCAAAATCCTTGGTACAATTCGAAAGATCACGTTTAAAGTTTTCAGAAATGGTGTCCTTTTTATTCATGCAAACTTTACATAGATCAAAACAAGTGTAGGAAGTTAAAATTTTATTTTATTTTTTTAACAACGCTCTAGTTAACCACTCTAAATTACCACTATAATTAAAAAGCATTATTTTATAAATTATCGAATTTTTTTAATTGATTTTGAAATTGTTGGTATTTAAGCATAAAAGATGCCTATCAATTTCCTCGCCTATGTTATGTTTTTTGCATGCATACGAAGAGCACCAATTCTAAAAGCAACAGGCATGATCTTTGAATTTGCGCCTACATTTTTAGGTAAAATCTTTCAAAACAGTTGTTGTTAATAGTAATATTATGTACATAGAGTTGGTATAGAAATGTTAGCATATTATTGTCCAACTACTACATCTCTTAACCTTGTATCGCTAAATTGTTTTCTTTTAATAAATTTCGTAAACGGAAATGAGATATTCCAGTGTCATATTAATGTTTCTATTTTAACCAATTTTAAATCTTCCAGATAACCAAGCTTCTGAAACAAACGACTATACAGGTCCAAAAATGCGTGTTCGGTATTCACTTTATGTGGGAGACGAAAAAGATGTGATCCATACTATTTCCCTTAGAGTTCCAGAAAACTACACGGCTTATGAAGTGATGAAACTGGCTGAAACAGAAGATCCAAAATACACGTAGGTATTTTAAGTCCTGTCCCTATTCTCTTATCTCTTTGAGGGGCGACGGGATAAAAACAGTGTTTAATGTTTTAAAAATGTTTATTATCTCTTAGCTATGCGGGAATTAATTAATAACTTTTTTTTTTTTTGATTGGCCAAATGCGCTGAGGAAAGAGATGAGTCACTCCTTTGAAAAAACTCTTGCCGCTCCGAGTTTTTATTTTCAGAGTTACGGAGCTGCATAAACCTCTTACAGCAAAAACATAATTTTTTGTATGTAACTAGCATTTAGGCTTTATTTTTTGTACCTTCTTTTTTCTATTAAAATTTTTCTCTCCATTTTTTGAGGTTATTTTCATCTCATCTGATTACACAAATTTAACAACTGTTGTCAAATATCAACTTGTGCGATTGTAACTTGCAAGAATTCTCATAAAACACAAAAAGTTAAAACTTAATTTTTTTTTGTTACCCCAGAAAACACAAAAAAATGCCAACTTAGTAATTAGAAAATTGTCTAGAAGAATTTATCTTGTTGTGAATAAAGGCGCAATATGTTTATTCTGTTGTTTAGGAACTTTTAAATCAATACCATCCCGTATCTTCGAAAAGAAAAGCGGACAAAAATTTTGAAGATTAAAAAAAAGTGAAAGAAATAAATATTTAAAATCCTGAACTACAAAAATAAAATTTAGTAGAGCTTGAAACTTCTTTGAATTTCATAATCTATTTTTTAATGTCATAATTCTAAATATTTATGTTTCATTTTAATTAAAACGCCTTACTTTTAAATATCTATGAAGTAAAATTTCTGTTATTATGCGCCCAAGAATTATTTAGTTAGTTAAAATAAATTTAATTAGCTTTTAAGGTTGTTGTTATCTAGTGATTAAAAGCATAAAAAATACTATTAATGATAAAATATATTAAAATTATGACGGACCGGTTTGAACCGACTACCTCCAAAATTTAGATACCTAAAATTAGGTATCTAAATTTTGGAGGTAGTCGATTCAAACCCCACCGTAACACCAGCTGTATTTTTGTGATGTTCTTTTCTGCTGCATGTGGGATAATTTATGATTTAACACTTAATTATGGATTTAATATACTAATTTTTTAATGATTTTTTCCACCACTACATTCTTACAACGTAAACAAACTTATAAAAACCTATAATGATATTCTATCATCTAACTGTAATCCCATTATCTTTGTCCCGTGAGAGGTTCAATCTATGTACTCAATACTCTTTCTCCTTTCTTAATCGTTGATTTTTTTCAAGTCCCACATCTAATGCTTTCCAGTGGTAGAAATGAATTGCGTAGCTACTTTTTATCCCTTATAGAGTAGAATATTTCCTAGTGACATTTTATTTTTGTCCCCCAAAATATGTTACTGATATAAATGTATATATTTTGGTTCGAAATTATGCATTTCTAATTCCTACCACCAAAGTTCCCACGGTATGAAAATCTTTTTTAAAAGTGGTAGCAAAAGTGAGGTATAATTAGATGTTTTATGCTATCAATAAATATTTAATTAAAAAAATATAATGTAAAAAAATAACTCTTGAATAATTTCGTAATTCACAAATGAAGAATAAGTATTTTTCAATAGTCTTGATAAATCCTTGCTACCAGTATTTTATTTTTTCCATGTCGTTAGAAGCCTGAGTAATCACATTAGAAAATATCAATTTTGCTACGAAGCTAATTGCTTACTACTATTCAAGTGTTAGTTAAAAAAGAGTTATAAAGTAGTGTTTTTAATATATCTTAAATATATAATTATATATTTATACGTAGTGGTGGTCAAAATTCTTTGTTGTTGAATTTATTTATAAAAATCATAAATTATTGCCAAATAACTTTTTACAGATTTTATGGAGTATCCGTTGCATTTGAAGGGTATACGTTTTTCTTCGATGGACTATTATTGATTTCGAAATTTTTATTCCACAAGGACTTCTTTTCTACAATTTGAATTATGAAAAAGAGATTGTAAAAATTCCATTTTTTCAAATTACTTTTCACTAGTGGAGTGGCCGGCAATGTATGGCCTTCAGGTCGTAATTTTTTTTTTTCGGTCTTTGACTGTACGTGTTTATATTTGAACTAAATACAGGCGGGAGAGATAGTATAGAGATTTTAGGACCAGGGCTAAATTTTGGTAAAGATTAAGTACTGGTCGTAAGAACATATCATTTTTATCTTTAGTTCGGAGAAATAAATTACTCATAATTACCACTATTTAGTACTCCTTGGCATGTGTGATCCACAAGCAATGCTAATATGCAGCTCAAAAATATACTTTTTTTAACTGTTAGTAAATCGAGGAAGTCATCAAAAAATCACGGTGGTCATCAAAAAAAAAATGACCCTGTTTCTAAAAATATATTAAATCGAACTTTCAGAAAATATTTTCCAGTGGTACTGAAGAGACGAACACATTTTTTTAAAAAATTTGTCCAATTTCGTCACCACTTAAAACCGTAATTATTTAATAAGCCATAATTATTTTTTATTCTTGCCCGGTATTTATGCTTTAACAAACATGCATAAGTTAGTGCAAGGTATTTCATTTGAATATTAATTTTTGTATCAATTTCTTTGCAGTTTTATATACAAAAAGATTTCTGGTGTGATGTATGTGTATCAAATTGATAAAACGATTAATGATCCTGAAAGAGGCTTTTTCTGGACGCTTTATCAGGGCCAAGAAAATACTAATGCAACTCTTAACCACTACAATTTGAGTAAGTCGTTCATTAACTACAATTAACACTAATTTACTACTTCGGAGATGTTAACTGCTCCGAATTAGACAAAATATTTTTAAAAGCGATAGAGAACTACAAACTAAATTCGCAGATTTTGTGTACATTTTGCCAACTCTTTAGTAGTAAGATGCATCCTGATCCCAATCCTCTAACTGGGCACTATTGGGACCGCTTGCGGCTCATTTGATACATCGTTATTAACCCCTTGGGGACGGATGATTCAGAAAAGCATTCGTACAAAATCAGAATCAAGTTGTAATTAAATAAAAACGGTAACTTATATGTAGTCGTTTCTAATTTGACAGACTTACTTTGCTTTTACTTTAATTATTGTCGGTTTAACACGTTCACGCCGGGTGTTGCGACTGAAAGCAAGACGGAAAAGAGAAAATACTGGTAGAAGAACAATTTCAATCTATTCTAACAGTAACAATTCGCTGTGAGGAAATTTATCAGGGCGAAGAAGCAATTCAATATAAAAATTGCATCCGTTAAAAACAATTGGTAGTTATGGATTTTTTATTATTCCCGGAAAAAAACTAAAAAATGAAATTTATTGTTACCAGTTTTTACTCCTGTGCGCCGCCAAGATGAGAAAATCTAGCGTGACCCACCGGTGGGTCACCCCGGCGTGAACGTGTTAAACTTCCAGTCTAGGTACCAGGTTTCTTTTAGTTTTTGTAGAGCAATATGTTTTGTTTTTTGTACTTCTCGTTGATTTCTGTGTTATCTGCTTATAAAACAGAGATAACTTTAAACTCCTGTCTGTGCACAGCAGTCATCTGTAATAATAAAATGAAGAGTTAGTCTGTGTGTCTCGCTTATAAGACCAGAATAGTTTGAGGTAGCATCTTGAAATTAGACACTCTCCTAGAAAACGATTATTAGATCGTTCTTGGGCTGATCTACTAAAAACGTGTTATACTTAATCTACTAAGGCAAAGCCATAGTGAGGTAGACAATACGATATTAAATAGATAGAAAAAATATTTAGCATCCTAAACACACTAGTACCTAGAAACGAAATGTGGTCTTAAAATGAAAAACACATTTTCAAAATATGTTATGCAACATCTTTTTGTTAACTATCAGTTCTCATTAAGAAATGCAAAGAATCTAAATTTAAACATTATTGTAGTTAATAAGTGCTGGTGAATAGAACTATATGTTTTTTTTTCGATACCAATATAGAAACATTAAATTTGCCACTTTCTTCTGTTAAAAAAACGTTATGGAAATAAGAATTGCATTTCAATTAATACCAAGCAAATGTGAAAAATCGTAACTACGTACGTTTATTCGGAAATATTAATTGTAGTGATAACTACGAAATTATTAAAATACGCCTTATTTTCTTAATTTTGTTACTATTCTTATATATTTATGACGCCCGGTGGCAGAGCGGTAGAGTTTCGCGCTGTCGTGTTACAGGTCCCTGGTTCGATCCTCGGTCCGGACAAGGTTGACTCAGCCTTTCATACCTTCAGTGGGTCGATTAATGAGTATCAAGCATGCTTGAGAACTAAACACTGGGGGTTCCGTGTTCGGCTGACCACCTGACCGGAACATCTGCTCCTGCACCCCTGACTGAGCCTAAGGTCAAGAAAACTGAGATGGGCACAGTAGGCCTTGGCCCTCTATAGGCTGTCGCGCCTCTGAGTTTAGTAGTCTTATATATGTATAAGCCCATAGAACCCTGTGTTTAACAATACTTAGGAAGATAATGGATTTAATTCATCACCATTGTGTTAGGTTCACTGAAATTATAAATATTTTATAAACTTCTAGAAAAATATTATTTATTTTATTATTTTTGTAGGTCCCGATCAACTTGTTATGCAGGATAAAGAACATCTCGTCATGTGGTACAAGAAAGCTCATTTCTGAAAAAAAGAAAATCTCAATGATTTATTTTTACTTTAACTAACAATATTGTACTAATATTGAACTATATGAATAAATATATTAAGAAGTCATTTCTGATTGCTTTAAGTATAGTTAACATACATGGTGAACCCAAACTATTTGTTTATCTTTGACGACAATTCAAAATTAAAATTTTATCGATTACATTTTTTAGGAATCAAACCAAAACTTTTTTTAAAACAATAAATTTGTTCTTGAGGTTTATGTCTTTTTTTTAAGCTTTTAAATGTGAAAATTTTATTAAATCCTGCGGTATCACAATTTAAGTCTTTTACGAAAAATTTGCTATTAAGTTGTGCAATATGATGGTCTAAAAAATCATTATTGAGATCGCGATGTATGTTCTTATTTCAGATAAGCCACCTTGCTTGTGTTATTTTTCGGAGTATTTTATTCTGACATCTTTTAAGTGTCATTAGGAGATGTTACACCAGCCTGGAGATGAGTAAGATAGGATGGGTCGGATCATAGATATAGAGTAAGCGTTTGAGTCTGAGTTCCATTTTAGAGTTTTGAAGAAGAATTTGTAATTTTCTGGCAGGCTGCTTGTGCTTTATTGATAATTGCTTGTGCTTTATTGATTTGACAGGATCTTTCCAATAGAATTTCCTGTTTTTACCAGACCAAGATTTTTTTGCTCTTTTAAAAATGGGTATCATTTCATTAAGGTGAAAAAAAAAATTTTCGGAGAATAGTTTTTCTTTTGTGTGCATAATCAGTAGTTTCAACTTTCCTCTGTTTACATTAAATTTTTGGTCTAGGCACCACGTTTCTATTTTATTCATCTTTTCTTGGAGGTCAATGTTGATGTTTTTTGATTTGAAGATCAACGTGCCATTGAAGTGGGAACACTTAGTATCCACTTGCGAGAATTTAAAAAAAAAACCTGGTTAGTAATAAATTATTAACTTGCATAAAAACTGTAGTTTGTTGTGAGAAATCGATTCCATATTTTAAATAAGCGGTGCAAAAGTATCTTTTTACTAAAAAATATAGTACATAATAGTCAAAATAATGTCACCATATCAAATCAATTATGTCAATTACTACATATGATCGAAATACCATCTAAAAATCGTTCGTTAAAATTAATTTGTGCTTAAAATTCAACTCATAATGTTATCTTTTGAAAACTTTGTTGAATAATGCACTTGCGATTTCTTCTTAACCCTTCTCATACAGATATATTTAGCACAATAAATTCTTTATATAGATTTGAGTCAAAAGGATTTCAGGAAGGTTTTGATGGGGTAAAGCACAATAAAGACGGGAACTCGGTTTACACTAATATAAAACGATTACCTTAAGGGGTTAATAACAATATAAGAAAAGATCTCACTAATTTTATCATTCAATAGTTTTTTTTATTTATTTTTTTTAACTTTAGAGAATCGCATACCAATATTTTTTAATCATTTTTAACATTGTCCTAATAAATTATCCGAAATTTTAAAACTATTTTTACGATCATCATTCAACTATAATTATTTGCATCTTATTAGTCAGTGTAATGCATATATCGCGAAAAACTATAGATTATGGCAAAATTTGAAATTTTAGCTAATTATTATTTTATAGCAAGATCACGCGATATTAACCCAGGTTTTTTTAGCAATACTACGCGAACATATATTAAATGAAAAAGATTGAAGGATTAATATTAAAGAAATTAAAATAAAAATATGAAATAAAACAATAAATTATGTTAGTACTAAGTTCATTCAAGAATTTAATTTAGGAATGCTTGCATACTAAAAGAATTTTAAACAGAAGATAATCATATACAGATACTTGAAACAAAAACATGCTAAAGAGCAAAATAGTAACAATGTTTAAAGCTTTAATGAAAAACATCAAATTGTCTTTTGTTCTGTGGAGAGCATTCTGGAATATTCGGGAAAAAATTTTAAAATCTAAGTTTCAATAATATAATAAATGAATTTAATCATATCCAAAAACAAAGTGGGAATATATATAAAAATTTTAAGGGCCACAAACGCTAACTGAGTGCGGCCGGACCGGACCGCACCTAGCTGCGTACCGTATGCTGTGCAGGCCTTTTCTGTATCATTTGGTGTAACTGAGTTAATTTGTATTTTTTTAAAACTTTTTTTTAGAATAATGGTGTTGAAGTTAGCATAACATCAAATAAAAAAATATACCAAGTAAATTAAAAGGAAATATCATTGAATTATTTATTTGCGGAAATTTTTTAAGGTACGAATACTATTTTTGAGATGACGATTATAATTTGCAATGGTTATCCAAGTTTCAAACTGCTATGCAAGTTTACACGCAGTTTCTTTAAAAAAAAAATTTCATGTTTTGCACAAAAGTTTCTTTGCTTAAAACACCGTCATGTTTTTTTTCTTTTTATTTCATCCAATCATGTTTAAAATTTAGGAAGTTTTGACTCTTAACAGATTTACCAAAATGAATAAAATTGGTAGTTTTAAAAATAAATATTACTTACTATTAATTATTCTTCTTATTACTTACTATCAATTATTACTTATTATTAATTATTCTACAGTATATAGTGCAAATTGTGATCCTCCTGCATACATTTTTGGGTATTTCCTGACTACAATTTTCTGCATTTTAGACGGATCGTGGGTTAGAGTCCCCTTGCCACCCGGCTAACCGTGGGAGGTTTTCGTGATTTTCCTCTCCATGTTGAAATTTGCGAAATAATTTCGAAGTGTATAAACTCAGTCTACATAAACAAGCTGAAAATTGCAAGTTTTACTTTATTTCATGCTAAAAATTTATAAACTTATATATTATTAAAAAGAATATTGATGAGAAGCAGAATGCAGTTCTCATTGAATTGGATTGAACACAAGTTTTAAACAATGCAAGAAATGATAGGTGCTAACATCGTTTCATTCCTTTTCATTTTTTTCCACTATTGATTTTATTTTATTTATTTATTATTATTTTACATATGTGCCCTCTTTAATTAAAGGATTTTCCCCCTTTTGAGTTCAACTTAATAGTGCAACAGTGTTCTTGGAGTTATTACATATTTCTTTAAAATAATTTCAAAATGAATATAATAATTGTTAAAAAGAGCTGTTTACTAATCATTTTCATTGGTTATAAAGTTCACACAAAGCAAATATTCAAGACTTCTTATTAGAAAACTCAAATTCAGAGACAAAAACATTTGTTTTCTGCATTTTATACATTTGTACATGAAAAAAAAACATTACATTTTGTATATTTCCTTGTATATAATGGTAAAATTGTTTTTAATTATTTCGTAAGGATCTATTTCTTATTTCGTTGCGAGAAAACTTTGGCTGAAATACGATATAAATAAAATAAATACGAGATTTTAAGAAATAAGAAGATTGAAATAAATTTACAAATTCAATTTTAGCAAATTATAACTACAGCAAGCCTGCACAACTTTTGCCGAGTATTTTACTAGTAACTCCCAGTTTTTTGGCTATAGTATGCCAACAATTATTAAATAAAGAGAGAGAGAGAATATTACTAAAGAGAGAGAGAATATTACTAAAAGAATTTTAAGAAACTTGCTTATGAAATAAAATCATACAAAAGATCAAAAATAGTAACAATGTTAAAAACATTATAACTTTTGTTAAATGAAAATTAAATTTTTCTTTCCTAATTGCTTTAAAAATGTAGATATGATGGAGTTGGAAAAATATGAATTGTTATTGTAGTTGAATATGAATGTAATTGCTTTAATAGTTGTGCAGAAAAATATAACGAATCATATAACTAAAAACAAGTTTTAATTTTTCTTAATGCCACAAAATTTTATTGTAATGTCTTTCTGATTCTGTTGCGACAGAAGTCTTTAACATTCCGCCAAGTCCTATGCTGTAAACTTTTCTCAGATGAGATACACCTACGAATCGCTTCTGCCCCTGGTAACTTCCCTCCTGCTATGTAATGTCCTAAAAGTTTTTCAACTTCCTCTTTTTGATCATCGCTCCATATTTTCTTTGCCATTGGAGTTGACACCTAAAAACAAAACAGTGTGTAGTACATATTTGGCTTTCGAAAATTTTTTTCGTGGCAAAAAAGATTTCGTTTTAAAATGTATAATCATAAATGTAAAAGAGTTCTTGTAAACTACACCATGGATGTAAAAGTATATTTTAAATTGATCATAAAAAAAGTATTAATTTAAAACATTCTTATATGTCTCGAAATTTATAAAATTATTCATTAGAAACTGAATACGTCTTTCCTTTGAGTCCATCTACTCTAAACATTTAATGAGTTCACTTCCTAAGTTTTAATGAGATTCAGATATAAAATCCTTGATCTGAAAATGTATAAAAATATTAGTATTTTATAAAATTGTTTAAAAATGTTTTTTCAGGAAAAATACTAGTACTGGAAACATATTTTAGTGCATATATATACATAGATATAAATTTTTGCACTTATTAGTATAGATTTTGACTCTTATTGGATTACGTTAGAAATTGAAGTATTATGTAAAAATGGATTTACCATGTTTGGATTTAGGAGGAGAGTGGGGTCAATTGTAACAGGGTACGATTGTAACAGAGCAAAAATTTCGAGTGTCGGGTTCTAGATTTGGTTCCTAGGTGGCGCACAAGGTGTATTTAATAAATCTACATGTACACCCCTGCTGGCAACCATTTTTATGTACTTTTGAAAGAGTTACATCACAAAAGATATTTTCACTCTACGTAAGTACTTTTTTTGTTATTAGAATATTATATTTTAACAAAGTAATTTTGTTTGAACAAATGAAAATTATTAGCCGAATATGTAAGTGGACACCTTAATTAACATTTAAAAAAAAGATTAGTTTTGTTAATTAACTAGCATTATTTTTAACAAATGAAGCTGAAATGGCGTCTTGGGGACGATTGTAACAATAAGTAAAGGGACGATTGTAACAGCTGAAAATAAGTAATCTTATGTTTACAAACCATAACTTAACTCTTTAAGAACTACCAAGAGTTTCCTATATCATTTATATTCTGTTGCATGCGCATTATTTTAATTTGTCACCTTTCGCAGCATAAATTAAAATTTTTAACCCCTTAAAAATAAAAAGTTTAACCCTTTAGGTCTTTACTCATTATTATTTTTACTCCTAAAATATCACTACTATTTAGATCAATAAAAAATGTGTCACAACTATGATAATATGTAAAATTAACTATGTTTTAGTTGAATTTATGAACTGTTACAATTGACCCCGTAAGTAGGGACAATTGTAACAAGTGCACGACTATCAAAAATTGTTTATAACTAATATAATAACATTTAAAATAAGGCATTGATTTTTTTTCTAGTAGAGGATAGTCTACTTTACTCGTCTGTCAATTAATACTAATAATATATTGAATTTTTGGTTAGTTAAAAATAGTTAAGAAAAAAATAGTTAAGAAAAAATGTTACAATTGACCCCACTCTCCCCTATTCTTCATCGTCTCTGGTTTCATTTTCTGAACTTATACTGTCTAAAAGAATAATTTCATTTAATTGAAAATAATAATAATATTTGTATTGATCAGGTCTAAATTTTAGTTCAATCTTACAAAAACGTATACAAAACATCGACAAAAATAAATTTTAATTTTATTTCAAAACTGCTTCAGTTTCAAAAACGTCTCAAATTTAAAAAAATCTCGTTATGACATCTCTCGTTATGAACATATGATGATCAGTTTAAATTATTATTTTACGATCATCACAAAAAAAAAAGAATTGATGAGTTGCATGTATTTTAAAAATATTTTTTGAAAACTACGTACATCAACAATGTGCTTATTTAAACACTAATTACAAAATCAATCATTGAAAATTCAGATAAAACCTGGATTAATTTTTCGTACTGTTGCGAAATTAATCTCTTTAAAGAAACACGTTTAACAAGTTCTCATAGAAACTACTTTTTCCTTTCTGAGACCCGCATGGTATAGTACTTGGTAAATTTCCCTCTTCTGAATCATAATTAAATAAAAAATTTCTTACATAAAACTAAGTCTAGAGAAAAATAAATTATAGAACTTTTTAGGCAATTATTTTAACGAGTTTCTATGGAAACTGAAAAATTAAAAATAAATAGTTAATAGTTCTTATAGAAACTGAAAGATCTGAAATAAATAATAAAAATAAATTTTTGAAATTCAAATAAACAGAAAATTTAGATAAATAATTCATCGCTTTATTACTTTAAAAAGTTTTAATAGAAACTGAAAAATTGAAAAGAAAAAATCAGAGAAAATTTTTATATTTGCCTTTAATCCTTCGTTTTTTTTTTTTTTTTTTGTCCTATCTGAGGCAAACATGGGGCATTTCTCTCTTCTATATCTGAAATAAATAATAAATTATTAAACTTTTATTTAACTTTAAAAATGCAAACCTTAAAATAAAAAAGTATGAAATAATGAGTTAAATATTTTTGTGACATAAAATTACTATATTTTTTTTAACACTAATTAACATACATTTAAACACATTTTATGTATATAGCTTAAGTTCAAATTTTATAGTGCAGACGCCTATATATACCTTTATTTTTTTCTTCAAAATTTTCTCCAGTCATCATCTTCTTCTGATTCTGAAATAAATATTTCTTGATTTAATCTAAAATTCAACTTCTTGCTTATGACTTTTTGAATTAAATTTAGATTAAAATTGATTACCGTTATCCAATGAAAACTGGATTTCATCCAAGGTTTTACCGCCCTCTTCTTGCAGGTTCCCTTGATCTAAGGAAAGAAGCAGCTTTGATGTCTTGGCGATTTGGATGATATCGTTAGGCAACCGGTAGAATTCTCTATGTATTCGTTTATCATGCCCCATGAATGACGCAAAGGAATCCATCTCATGTTTTTTTTTAAATTAATTATCTGCGAAAGTGAGGCAACTTGTTTTCTCAGTTTAGTAGACCTTAAACTATCGGGGCGAGATGCTCCACATTCTTCAGAATATTTGCGGAGACAAGCCGCTCCCTGATAGTGCAGCTTCGCAGAATTTGAATGGCTTGCAAATAAGTAGGGGTTGTTTTTATTAGCTCGGTCTCTGTTCTGCAAACACACTTCAATCGCTTTATGGACAGATGGTGTAAGCAAAACTGGGACAGTTCGATCCCCCTTCCCTTAGATTTCCATCCTTGTCAATATTTTACATAGAGCTCTTTCATTTTCTGAAAGATTATGTCGGACCATTCGGCTGAGCTTTTGATTTTTTTGAAGTCCTCTATTTTGATTCTTGACACTTCTCCCTCTCTCCTTCGACTGAATACTATGACTTGTGTTAAAGTCACTTTTTGCAACTCCGAAAAAGCGGAAAGTATTTCATGGTGGAGACTGTCCTTATCTTCTAAAATATGGAGGCATTCCTCCGATTTAGTTTTTTAGATAAGAGCTCAGTTTTAAAACATCTGAGCTAAGAGGAATAAGCTCTTCTTTATTTCTCGTAGCTTTATTTCGAATTCGCTTTGCTTCAGCACCGATTTCAGTTATAAAGTTCATATTGAAGAGGGTCAGAAAATTGTCCGTCCTGTCCCGTAGAACTTTGTCTCTTCTCTCAATCGACAATGGAGGCACATGCTTTGATATGAATGCCCAACTTTCGAGCTAGCTCAGGAGTTGATCTGCAAGATGCAGAGAAGCTCATTCCTGATATTATTTTGATAGATTCAACTATGTTTTTAAATTGGGCTGGATCAGTTACGTCCATTATGGAGCATGAATTTTTATTTTTTTACTTTCCTCATCTGTACGAGGAGTCTTCCCATTTCCCTCGCATTATTGCGTATTTCATTTTGTCGGTGAGGTTGGTCTCCTCCTGTTTTGTGATATAACCTCCGAATGTACTCAAGAATGACATAGTCTGTTCGAATTGCAAGGGAGACTTTATCTTGCGGCATTCTGTTCAGTAACTGTTTAACATTTTCATCTACTGCAAAGGGTGTGGGTATTAGCATTCGTCCTTCGCTTAACAGCCTTGCACCAGATTGTTTAAATGGGCACTTATGCTTCCAAATGTCTCTTTTCGCTTACCACCCAAAACAACCTGGGCACGGTATGTAGTTTTCCGGATTTGTTGATTCTTTAGGTCGATAGGCGACTATAAGATCACCTTTCCCTCAATGTTATGTTTAGGCGTCCCTCTATTTCTTCATTTCATTAGTTGGTCATCTCTTCTTTTTTTTTTCAGTTTCATTCGATTTAAATCTCATTAAGAACTGGACTTCTTCCTCGTCCGCATGAGTACTTTCGAAAGGATGAGGTAGTTTTGCAAATTGCTTCCCACAAAATATGCAATAATGCTTTTTATCCCACTTACCAATGTTATTAGTAGACACAACAATTACATGATTTTGATTTTCTTCTTTTTTACGGTGCATTTCTGTACAAGTAAGATCATCTTCCGAGTCCGAAAACTCATAATCGGAATAAACTCATTTTCTCACATCATCGAAATCTGTTGATTCACCCGAAATGATATTTTTAGAATAATTATTTTCACTTTTACTATGATCCTCTGAAATTAAGGGGGAAAATGTATATTTAGATTTAATATACAGATTACAAGATAAGAACAAGAACGTAAATATTTTAAATGCGTACTCTTAAAAATAACTTTATGCATTTACTTAGAAATTGAATAACTTCAACTGAAACAAAAATAAGAGGACATTTAACGATTAAATTGTTGTAAGATTCGGGCACTTGCTCAGTGATTTGTATAAATCATATTCCTTACAAATATTTTTAAAATCACGAGAAGAACTTAGAAGACCAAAAGCCTACTTTCCTTTGCATACTTCTGCTTAACAGCCCCATAGTCGAGTTGCTACTGTATTTGATCATTACGTGAAATCGCAAGTTCCAAAAATGAAACATTTCAATAAATGCAATCGTTAGAATTCGTTTTTAGGGTTTTTTGCAATTTTAGATTTTAAATAGTTTTTATTTTATTTATCTATTTATTTATTTTAATTTTGCATTCTTCCGGAAATGTCATGAAATTTATAACTATTAAAAAGTTTTAAAAAAATTAATAAAAGAACACGCGAAAAATCGCCAATTCTAGATGACTCATTTTCGGAATCGAGGGCACATTTCTTAGAGAAAAATAGTAATAAAATTGAATTATTTCTTGTATAAACTAAGTAAAAATTCCAAATATGAACAAGGTTAAAAATTCAATTAATTTTTAAATCCAGTGATATTTGAAAAAAATAAATAAAAGGACTTTATTTTTATTTTCTAATTACTGAAAAAATGTGCATATTTGAAAATAGAAAATGACAAGAGGAATTAAAATATTGGTAAGTGAGAAACATATCGCACTTGTTGACTTTTATCGTGAAATAGAATGGAATAGCTGGTCGTAGTGATATTTAAAAGTAGAACTTATTTTATGGAAAATGTAAAACGATTAAATTTAAAACAATGAATTAAATATGAATTGTCGAATGAATTAAAAATAAAACAGAATCGATGCAACAAGGTAATAACAGGATAAATTCAATATAAATTTTCGAAATTGTGAATTGAGAATTTATTAAATATAAACGTATATAAATATTTTTATTTGTTGAAATAAAATAAAAAATATTTATCTTATTGTCTATGTAATTATTAAAATTGCAAGAAAAAATATGGTATCAATTAAAAAAGTTTTAAGGCATTCTTTCAAAACTTTAAAATGTTGACGTGGAAAAGGTAAATCAACAAGTTTTGAAAAATTGTGGTTATAATGGCTTCTTAAAAATATTTTTACCGAAAACCATTAAACAAAAAAAGGAGCTTAAAGAATAACATATCATAGGTTATTACATCGTTCAGAATTTTTTTTTTTTCGATAGCTGGTTTAACAAATTTCTAAGAAACAAAGCTATACTTAAGATTATAATTTCTAATTTTATTATAACCTATATTGTAACTAGATAATTTGTATAACTTTTAATTTCATTGAATGGATTTTAGATACAACGGAACCCTTTAGCACTACTTTCAGAAGCAGATAAGAGTTGTAAGTGATAAGGAGGAATTAAAATTAAAGTTTTATTTACCTAGGTTTCCCTTGAATTCCGGAAAGGCGCTGTCTCTATCTTCACACTCAGATATTTGAAAATTTTCAGCAACCACGTTTTTTTTTCCTAATGGTCTTGATTTTATTTTTTTGTGCTTCACTACTTATAGAAGATTTCTGTTCTTCTGTACCGACAGTTTTCACTAGAAAGATAATTAAGGAATAATGTTATGTACGGATTTTAAATTTTAAAAAATATTATCTAAACAAGGACTTTCTTACATTCGTTATGTACTACAAAAAAATATCTACTTGCATTTATTATGTTTTCGATAAGTTAGTGTTTAGAAAATTAAAGCATATTATAGGTAAGATTAAAGAATATTGTAGTTTAACATAAACTTTTCTTCTTATAACAAGTTCTGAAGATGAAACGAAGCTAAATTGCAGCTAAATATAACATCAACTAAAACTGCTGATCATTATTCAAGTCAGAGGGGAATGAAATTTATTTTTAAATGTTTTATGTATTCGACGAAACTAACATTCCCTACAAAAGCAATAAAAAGGCATAGAGAATTATCTATATGTATAAACATAAATAAAGTCAGACCCCGATATAAGGTCACCCTAAGGGACATCGCAAAAGTGGCTTTATAAGAGGGGTGACCTTTTAACCGATTCATTAGCAGTTCATAACTAAGCACATAAATAGTACACATTATGATTTTTTAAAAATGGTAATACAAACGAAAACGATCGGCCATAAATTGAATATTTAAGTCAATAAATTTTAACAGAATTAGTAAAGAATTAAAGAAAGTTAGATGTTTAAAATTTATTTTTAAACTTAAAATAAAGCTGTTTACAAATTTCCTTAAAGTGTACATACATACATTACATCTTACCTTATTTAAAATAATCATATATGCAGGTTCGTCTCGTTTTTGGTTTCATTTTTCGAACAATGTTGTCTAGATTTTGTAACTTCTCAAAATGTTCCTCAGCTCCCTCATGGTTTGTAAAAAAATTTCGTAGGACATTTATTGCATTGAAGGCTTTCCTTTGGGTTACAGCTACATTCTCAGGATCACTGTCATTGTCCACAAGTTGTGAAACAATTTCAGAAATTATAGTTTCAGAAGTGGTGGCAAATTCCTAATCAGTCAAACCATATTCAGCGTCCCCTTCAATAGCATAGCCAAGATTTTTCAAATCTTCCATCAGAATAGATAGAGGAATATCGTGTTCTTCTTCGGTTTCGTCATCCACGATATTCAGAGAACTCACAAAACCAGCATGACGAAAACAACTTGCTATGCATGTGGTGGACACCATGTTACGCCTCAGATAAAAATGACCTTATAAGCGATAACGATTTTTAAAACTTGACCATATATCCGATAATCTGTAACAAAGAATTCCTATTCAGTGAGCCGGGACTTTGGAAAAGTGACCTTATATGCGGGGTGACCTTATATGCGGATGACCTTATATCGAGGTCTGACTGTATTTACCTAGCTTTTCTATTAATTCCAAAATCGGCTTGTCATTCTTCAAAAAAGTTCCGTCAGGTCTTAATGTTGGTGGACCAGCATCATTCCTATTTGTATGTATACTCTGTGCGAATTTTAATTTTACAATTTTATTTAGTGAAGGTTTAAAATTTTATATAAAAATGAGTGATCTATACCTAATGTAGATTATATTTATTTACATATTGATTACATATTTTATAACCGATGTTAAACAGCCAACTCCATTCTGAGTATACGACTATCATTGGTGAGCTCCATAGCCTTCTAATTTTAGAACTAACTCACATTTGCGTTTCATGGAGAGGATCGAAAACCTTGCCGGGATAGCGCGATGAGAAAGGGATTCTTATCCGTCTACCACTGAGAATATTTTACATCAGCACTGTGGTTGGTGCGATCCTGGAGCATAACTGGGAGCATAACCAGCCATAACTGGGATTCGAACTTGGGTCACCTCATTGGGAGATGAGTTCTCTATTACCTGAGTCACCGATGCAAATATTTGATTTTTTCTTCCAGCCCAATCTTATGTATACAGCTTCATTTTTCGCACTATACATTTTTCTTTTCTGAATTATTCATTATCTCTAATGTTATTAAAAGCAAGATTTAGTTTAAAGTTAACACAAATAAACTACTTTGCTAAATTATTTTTTTTCCCTTCTGTTCAATTTAAAGGGGACAATTTTTTTCTTTCTCCAGTGATTCGTTAGAGGGAAAGATTTCTTTTCCAGATCTGTAGTTCTTTAATTTTCCTCTTTAACTCTCTTTTTTTCTATCCCCAGTGATTTCTCTCTCTTTATAGTATATATATNAAGTTTCATGTTTTTCAACTTTGTGTGCTTGTAGAATATATTAATTTTCACTTAAAAACAAACGTTTGTATATCAAATTAAAGGTAATTTAATGTAGAATTTCATAATAAATACAGTTTTACAATATCTGTATTACAAAAAAAGTTATGCAACTAATAGTAAGATCTATCTTAGATTTGCATTTTTTTAAAGTGATACTTACACAATCAATACTTAGTAGGATAACCCTTATTTTTTAAGACAGCTTCACAGCGTCTTTTCATCGAGTGAACGAGTGTTTGGAGTTCATCTTTCGTAATCACATGGTGCCACGAATCAATTATAGCTTCAATAAGTTTTTTTTTAATGGATGAACGTTTTTTTCGTACAAGAATTTCCAAAGGTCGCCACAAATTTTCAATTGGATTGAGATCAGGGCTGTTATCAGGGCCATGGTAATATATCATGGTTATAAACCATGCTCTGCATATTTTTGCTATGTAGCATGGAACTGAATCCTGCTAAAAAATAAATGGTGCGTTGTTGGGGAAGAGATCCCTGATGGAAGGCATCAATTTTGGTTTCAGGACAGTTTCGATGTATTTTTTGGCATTCAGAATGTCATCAATCACTTGAATTCTGCCCACACCATCTGCAGACATACATGCCCAAATCATAGCATTTGTTGGGTATTTTGTAGTCGCTTCAATGCAATCAGTATGAAGTGCTTCACCTACTCTACGTCTCACGTATTTTCTATCATCACTACCAAAGAGCGATATTTTACTCTCATCGCTCCAGATTACTTGCTTCTATTGATTTTCTGACCATTTAATGTGTTCTTTTGCCCACTTAACTCGCTTTTGGCGTTGTTTTTGATTTAAATATGGTTTTTTCCTTGGAATTCTAGCTTGTGGTCCAAATCCTGATAACCTTCTTCTTATTGTTCTTGAACTTACTGCAATGCCAGCTGCATTCATTTCACATCTAATGGCATCTGATGAAATTTTTTTTATCTTGAAGGCATAGCCGTTTAATTTTTTTTCGGCAGTAGCACTTGTTAATTTTTTTCGGCCTGATTTGGCGTTATTTTCCACTGGTTTCGTTTTTTCATAACGTAAACAGAACTTTCGTACACCAGAACAAGTCACTGAACCACCAACTTTTCTTGTAATTTCAGCATAAGAGAGGCCATTTTCTCTCAACAGACCTGCCAACCTTAGAAAATAAAAAAGCAGGAGACCCTTTCTGTATCACGACATAGCGCAAAATTGAAAATTAAACCTGATTCACACTTCCTACAAGAAGTTTATTTCAAAATACAGACCTGCCAACCTTAGAAAATAAAAAAGCAGGAGACCCTTTCTGTATCACGACATAGCGCAATATTGAAAATTAAACCTGATTCACACTTCCTACAAGAAGTTTATTTCAAAATATATTATTTACATTACATAAAATAGACCACAATAAGATTCTGACACTGACTAATAAAGATATGTGTTCTTACTATAAAATATAAGGTTCTATAGAATTATATTAAAACACATCTTTTGATTTTTTAAAATTTAGGAAGAGGTTCAAAATTAACAAAATATGTCAATGAGGAATACAATACTTTATAAATGTATTTTTTTTTAACTGCTACTGTTTTAAAACCGCAGATGTTGCTGATTTAGCATTATTTTAAAAAAAAACTGCCATCTATAGAAAGTGAAAAAACATTCTGCCTAATGGTGTCCAAAATATCTCCAATTTTGCAATTTCATTGATTATGGCTGCTGTTTTGGTTCACACTCACTGTAATTTTTAGTGATGTTGCTATAGGGGAAAATTTTTCTAAATAAATGCCCAGCATGATCTGAAGCACAAGTTGGGAAGGAAATTGCACAAATTGTTGTTTTTTTCCCCTCTATAGTGCACTAAATAGAAAAAAGCAGGAGAAAGCACCCTGAAGGCCTGAGGGGAAAGATTTGAGGCAAAAGCAGGAGAGTTGGCAGGTCTGTCTCAATATGACAATTCGGCTTCTTTTTGTAGATGTCCAATTAGTTCTTCTTGTTGATGACATTGTTTAAAATTAGTTTAATTAAAAATAAGGACTTTAAATATTCAAAAACAGCAATACTCTATTTAGTTGTACTAGTATGAATCATTCCGAAAAATATTTCCACAACAATAACTCTTTTACCATCCAAATAACCTAAACTATAGTTGCAGACATTTGATTGGTCCTCAGAACAGTGTTTGTGTTTGGTTAGTACGCTTTTGTTACAAAACACGTCCTTATTCAAAACGATTTGTGTTTGTTTGTTCTACTAAACTGAGCATAACTTTTTTTGTAATACAGATATTTNCAATCATGAAACTTGAAATTCGACCTTGTAATAATTTATAAACTTGGAATTATCCAGTATAATCTAATTACTTTGCGCAAATCCAGTTTTTGGCCAATTCAATAGTAACTGACGAATCAAATGTGGTTCTGTACCTCAATAGGAATGCGCCATAAAATACACCCCATTATCCTCTATTTACGCTTTTATTTTCATATTTTGCAATCTGGAAAACTAATTATAAAAATATTTTTAAATAATTTTCTCAAGATGTCAATAAGTAAAAGGAAGTTAGAACTCGTCGCTCGTTATGATAATTTTTTTTTAATTTTGTAATTTTATTAGAATTTTATTTTGTATTTTTTCCTTTTATGTTTTACTTTGTATTTTTTGCTTGATATGTTTCATTGCCATTTCGATATTTTTGGTGCTCTCACACTATTGTATTGATTTATTTTGCATTGGCTAAATCAGTACAATTTAAGAAAACACTCTATTTTGCTGATACAATCGTGTGAGCTGAGGATGAGATTTATCTTTAAATTATTTTGTCTTCTGCTTTTTAATTTTTTATTACTTATTGTTATTTTTTAAATAATTTTTCTTCTTTTCTTTAATCTGTCTATCTATCTATCTATCTATCTATCTATCTATATATATATATATATATAAAAGTTCAAAATGTAGAGAAAACATGGNNNATAGTTCAAAAAGAGGATAAAACAAAGAAAAATTCTGGACATATGCAAAAAAGGGGGGGGGAATAATAATTAATGAAAAAATAGCAAACAAATGATTTAAAAAAAAAGGTTGAAATTTTTTTTAAAAAAAACCGTAAAATAAAAGATATAATCGTTTCATCAGCCCACACGATTATATCCACAAAAGAGAGTGCTTTCTGATATTGTATCAATATAGCTAATGCAAAATATATATTAATACAATAGTGTGAGGAGCACTCAAAAATTTTTTTACAAAAATTACAACAAATAAAATAGAACACAATAAGTAAAAATAACACGTAAAAACAGAAAACAAAATTAAAAAAAACAGTATAAAACATGAACTATAAAGCGAGTAGCGAATTCAAATGTACTTACATGAACGGGAAATTTTTCAAGAATGATTTAAAANTAATAAAATAAAAGAAAAAGAAAAAACAGTATAAAACAAAACAAAAACTCTAAAGCGAGAAGCAAAATCAGATGTACTTACATGAACGG